TTTTTAAAGTGCTACTACAAGAATATCAAATTTGACGTGTGCAACATAATCTACATACCAGACACATATCAACGATGTAGATATTGATAATACGAAGAATGTGACATTGTGTTTTTAAATGTTAAATTTTAGACCGAGTTCAGTGTGGCAGCAACGTTAAGAGTATACACCTGATGATGGCCGATAGAGGCCGAAACATGTAGTGTAGAAAGAACAAGATCAAAGACATATAATATATATTGTTTGCACTTGGGACGGAATTTGTGTCATTTATTGGTGGAGACTGTTGTAATCAATCCTAATGGAGTCTGTAATGTCAGAGGGTTGTCACTTGAATTCAGTGGAACAGCATATCACAGCTGCTATACTGGTTGTTCAATTCACCACCAGCAAATAGTAATGGTGTAGTGAAGGTATGGATTGGATTGATCTTACTCATTATAGGGACCAGAGGACGGCGCTTGTGAACACAGTAATGAACTTTCGGGCTCCATAAGGACGTTCTTCAGTAGCTGCAGAGTTGGCAGCTTCTTAAGAAGGGCTCAGTTCCATGAGTGAGTGAGTGAGTGAATCCTAATCTTTTTAACAAGGGAGATTCTCGAGTTACATCATGCTACTGAAATGAATAATAAATGGAAACCTCAGTATTATTGGTTGCTATACTTGATTTATAATACATTAAGGTAACTGAAAAACTATATTCTGTGTAGCTTTCAAGTGTAAGTTGTGAGCAAAGTTATGAAGTTGAATACAAATATCTGTGATGAAAACAGAATTTTATTTGAAGTTTACCAACCTTTAGCTTTCCCGAACAGAAGTTTTCACACAAGATGGCGGCCATCGATGTAGTCGTCGTGTCTCTCGATATTTGGATCAAAATACTGGTGAAAGTGAATTAAATTGTTGTGCAAATTGTAATAAATTGAATGACTATTTAAAAATGGTTACAATGGAGTTAAAATCAGCACAGCAAGTAATCAAGATTTTGCAAGAGGAAAGAGTGTCAGTTGACGTTCATAACCCCAAAATTCAATATAACGTATTGTCAAAGACGGGTCAGGACATCGAAGCATACCGTATGAAGTTGGGAATGAAAAATGTAAAAAATGTAAATATAAATAGTGAAAATTCAGAAAGGGTGAAACATAAAATAAGAATACTAGGTGATAGCCATGCACGTGGACTGGCAACTGAGTTGAAGCATAGGTTAAATCAAGAATTTGAGATACAAGGGGTAATAAAACCTGGATCAACATTGGAAAAATTGACAAATAGTGTAAGCTCGGACTTGAAAGAATTAACAAAGAAAGACGCCTGTATAATTTGGGGAGGTACAAATGACGTTGGGAGAAATGAAACTAATATTGGTATTCGTTCACTACATGAGTTTATAAGTTGTCATCAACATACAAATGTTATTGTTTTAAAAGTTCCACATAGATATGACTTAGCATCTAATTCATGCATCAATGAAGAAGTAAAAACTTTTAATAGGAAGCTTGATAAATTAAAGAAGGCTCATCAAAATCTTTTTGAGGTCAGCATGGACATGGATAGGGATTTATTCACAAGACAGGGATTTCACCTAAATACTCATGGTAAAGAGCAGACAGCAAGTGACATCATCTCTGTTTTAAGTAATTTGTTCAAAGTAAAGAGAAAATCTCCTATTACTTTAATGTGGAAGGAAGAGGATCTGGATTGTAATAGTATCTCTAAGATTAATGAAAAAGGTGTTCAGTGTATTAAATCGAGTGAATGTGATTATGCGAAATCAGCTCTGGTTTCTCAGGCAAGCGCAAGTGTAAAAAAGATGATTGTTCAAGATAGTGTGAGTGGAGTCATAGAGATTCAAAGAACTAATGATCAATGTATTAAATCAAGTGAGTGGAATTATGTTCAGTCAGCTCTTGACTCTCAAGATAGTTCTTGTTCAAATATGAGTGTTCTCCAAGATGGTACATGGGATGAGTCAAAAATCCAACGAACTGATAAGGACTCAGTCAACCAAGAAATGACGGGCGCACCAGCAAAGAGAACTCGACGACACCCCCTTAAACGAAATAAAGATTTTTTATGGTAGATCATCCATTTAAGTCAACTTTCCATCCCCCTAAAGAAAGTTCAAATTTAACTCAGTATTTGAGTATTCTTCACCACAATGTACAAAGTCTGAGCAACAAATTACTAGAATTAAATGCACTGCTCTCGCAATGGCCCAAAAAGCCAGATATTTTATGCTTTTCGGAGCACTGGCTTTTAAGTGATCAAATCTTGCATCTAAATATTGATCAATATAAACTTGCGGATAGTTTTTGTAGAATAAATGATAAGCATGGTGGTTCTTGTATATTTGTTTCCAAATCAATTAAGATCAGAGAGGTTTCTTCATTAAAAAACTTTGGTATAGAAAAAACACTGGAAATATCAGCTATTGAAATAGTGAAATTTAAAATCATTGTAATCTGTGTATACAGATCTCCAAATAGTGACGTAAAAATGTTCTTCAATCAAATTGATGAGGCTATAAATAGGGTACTAAACAAAGGTTGCTTGTTAGTAATATGTGGGGACTGGAATATAAACTTACTCCAAAAGAGTTCACTTCAAAAGACTCTATTAAATCTGTTGCTCTCAAATAACTTATTAAATACGGTTCAATCTCCTACGAGAGTTTCATCTAACTCGTGTTCTCTAATTGATGTAATGATTAGAAATAAAGTATTTTATCCTACTTCAACAAATGTTGTCGAAATGGGCTACTCGGATCATTTTGCGCTAGTTATGAACATAGTTGTAGAAAATTCTCATGTTCCTTTCTCTGAAAAAACCAAAAGAAGAGTTTTCTCTAAAAGAAATATCGACTTATTTAACTTGAGGTTAACAAGGGAAGTCTGGGACGAGGTTTATCACCAAACTGATGTAAACAAAGCTTATAGTCTTTTTTTAGACAAGTATCGGGACCTTTTCCTGAACATGTTTCATATAAAAAAAGTTGTAAATGTAAAAAACATCAAATCCAGATGGATTACTAAAGGGATAAAAGTTTCTAGACAGCGGCTTCAATTTCTATGTTACTTAAAGAAAAAGTTGATTCTTCCTAGGCATTCTTTGAACTATATAAAAAAGTATCAAAAAATTTATAAGAACGTGTTAGCAGATGCTCGTAAAAAAGAAAACGACAGATTCATCCAAAAATCAACAAACCGCTCTAAAGCGTTATGGCAAATTATAAACTTTGAATCAGGGAAAGCTTTTAAAATAAATTATAAAACCTCGGATGTGGACTCCATGACTGACTTAGACCCCCTCCTCACTCCCGGTCATTTTAATTCTTTTTTTGTTGAAATTGCAGGAAAAATGGTAAACCAATTAAATGATCAAAAACCTAAGTATGACCAAGCATGTAAAGTTACTCCATTTTCTAAATCGATTTTTTTCGTACCAATTACAGAAAATGAGGTACTTAGTGTGACTAGTAAACTAAAAGGTAAACTCTCCGCGGGCTATGACGAAATCCCAGAAAAGTTAGTAAAATTTAGTATTCAACCTATTTGTAAACCTTTAACATTTATTTTTAATTTGTCTCTTTGTACTGGAATTTTTCCTGATCAGATGAAGATTGCCAAAGTTCGCCCTATTCATAAGAGAGGACGAATTCAAGAATTATCTAATTATAGACCTATTTCACTATTACCTGTTTTTTCTAAAATCTTTGAAACATTAATATATAACAGAGTAGTGAATTTCTTAAATAAACATAATTTGATATCTGATGCCCAAAATGGCTTTAGACAAAATAAATCAACTCATACAGCACTGCAATCATTTATTGAGGATGTTCAGAAAGCATTAGACAATAAGTTTTTTGCTTTGGGTATTTTTTTGGATCTTTCCAAGGCTTTTGATGTGATAAACCACAAATTACTGTTGGCTAAATTGGAACTTTATGGGTTTAGAGGAATTTCACTCTCTTTGATGAGATCATATCTTACGGGTAGATCCCAGTTTGTAGAAATTGACCATGTTGATGCCAAGTCTCCAAATCAAAAATCATTCTCCTCTTCGTGTAAGGAAATAAAGTACGGTGTTCCTCAGGGTTCGGTTCTGGGACCTCTTTTGTTTTTAATGTTTATAAACGATTTGCCTAAAGCTGTTCATGAAGCGAAAGTTGTTTTATTTGCAGATGACACCAATATACTAATTATTGACAAAAATCTTAAATCTTTAAATGATAAAACTATAGTTTCTATGCATCAATTAGAAAATTGGTTCGCGGTAAATCATCTTATTATTAATATTGAAAAGACAAAAGCACTCTTTTTTCAGGGACGTGGTCCCCGTCAAATTGATAAACCGGAACTTTATTTGAATAATAAGAAAATAACATACACAGCTAATTTAAAATTTTTAGGTATATATATTACAGAGAATTTAAGTTGGTCCTCTCACATTCACCATTTAGTTCAAAAATTAAACAAAACCATCTATCTTATCAAATCCTTACGAGATTTGGTCAGTCTTCCAATTTTGAGAAGTGTGTATTTTGCGAAATTTGAATCTTTATTGAGATATGGTATTATTTTTTGGGGCTGTGGTCAAAAGGACATTCAAACTGTATTTAAAATCCAAAAAAAATGTTTAAGACTGATCAAAAGAGTCAATAACAGGATATCGTGTAGAGAATTTTTTGGTGAATTTAAAATTTTAACCTTAACTTCATTGTATATCTTTGAGACGTTGTGTTTTTTAAGGAAAAATAGGATATATAACATCTCGTATTCAGATGTGCACGGTTATAACACAGTACATAAGCAGAATTTGTATGTCCAACCATGTAACACCTCACGTTGTAAAAGGAGTGTGATTAACATGGGAATAAGATTGTATAATAACTTGCCCTCTCAAATAAGAAGTATTCAAGAGTTCAAGGTTTTTAAGCGTCAATTAAAGGATTACTTGTTGTGCAAAGCTTTTTATTCCCTTCAAGAATATTTTTACAAGAATTAGCTTAATAATAGAACAAAGATACTTAGGTAATTTATTTTAGATATTGCATGTAATTTATAGTTTAGCTTTTGTTGCCTTATTATACTCATCCACCGTTTTATCATATTTAAAGGATTTATTATGTTATTTTTCTATGGTTTTTTATATTATTAGTCATTTGATGTGATGTTTAATCTCATATATTTTTTTTATAAAACTGACTTGTCCAATTGTACATAATGTAACAGTTATGGATGTTAAATCAATCAATCAATCAATCAAGAAGTATTGTATGAGTAAGGGTGTGTTGAATTGATTGATGTAAATGAAATGTTCATACTTTACAGGCACTGGTGAGAAACTTCCTCAACTTCCTCCCAATAAATAATGTTGCAACTTGATCTCTTGAACTGCAAAGGTTCTTACTCTGTTTTTTTTTTTTGTTTTGAAACCGAGTTTGATATCACTTCATTCATACCCCTCCCAATGGAAATGAGTGGAGTGATAGTAAACTCAGTTAAAAGAAAAAGAAGAAACACTTCATAACCTCTGCAGTACAAGAAAGAGGTCATGGATGCAAACTTTTTTATAGCTATTCTTGTGAACTAGTGATTCTTTGGGAGGGGACAGTACACAAAGGCTGGTGGTGGTAGGATAGAATACCTTCTTCCCGACTATGCTCCCACACTGGCTGCAGCCAGTTTGTATCAATAGACTTGCCTCTGAATATTGAGGCAGCAGTGATTCATTCATTCATTCATTTCCTTTATTTTCCATACATCCATACAGGTAACAAACCTAGGATGTGGAAATGGTCCCTTTGAAAATAGATGTATCAAGATACATAAACAAAATTACACGAGTCACATAATTAAAATCACTTACATTAATCGATTAACATAAATAATAATATAAAGTAAAAAATTTAATAAGATAATTTAAACATAACTTACTATAAAACTTGAAATAATACTTATATTAACTGAATTAAATACATTACAAATTTAAACACTTATGACCAATTATGTTGATAATATTCATTCATGGAATAAATGCTTTCAGGATGTAAAGGTGGCTATGTTGCCCGCCAATAGCATCGATTTTCCAAGGGCTGCAATAAAACACACTGAACTATGTACTACATGTGCTCTGTTTGGATGTTGCGGTGCTTGTAAATTAAATACATCCGTCACTGTTTATTCTCTGATGGATGGTAAGTTTTGTTTCTGATTTGGTAGCGTTGTAAAACAGGAAACATTTACGCATGGCGTTACATGCATCTTCATGTTAAAAATGTTTTGTGTATTTCAATTTCACGCCTACTGCATGGCATGAAATGGAAATTATTTACATACTATGTATGATACGTAAGTATGCCATTAAATTATATATGTAAATTATTGCATGAAAGTAAATAATCATTTTGATATTGTGACGAGTTCCGCATCCTGTGGTTTAGCCCAAAGAAGGATCTGTGGAATGTCAAGAAATCTGAACTGTGCCATGACTGTTACTATCTTGTGCTGCTTCTTGTAGTATAGAAAACTGACCACAGAAAAGATATGCTCTACCTTGGAGTGCTGCTTAAGCCATATCCCAACCAATCTTCTGAACCAACCATCTATGACCCAGAGGCTCTTGCTTCCTACACAAGAAAGACAGGTAAGCCAGTCTCACTGCACAGCTGAGCTGCCATCAATGCAACCCCCCATGGTCTCTTACAGAAAAACTATGGTGCCAAATGTTGGCCAGACCATATGAACAGAGAAGTATCATAACACTTCAATAAAGAAAGATGCTGGTGCAGAGGAAAGGCTCATAGCTATAAGCATACATCATAAAATATTGGGAGAAAATTTTTGTAACATTACAACCCTCACCATTATGTATTTTAATGAACAACAGAAACCATCTGTGTCTACAGACCACATAATAACCTTTATATACAGTGTTCCAGGAGGAAAGGCCCATTCTGAGAAAAAGTGTGTGTACATGTCCTATTCCAAACAGCTTCCAAGATAAAGCTATTTCACTGTACAGTTCCAAAATTGATGCAGTTTACTTAGCATAATACATTTTAAAAAGTTCTATCAACATAAAAACACTTCACAGCTCATGTGAGGACATGGCATGTTGCTCATCTCTACAGTGTGCAGTGTACCATACAGTGAAATGGCTCGTCTCAGAAACCGTTTGGATGACTAATAATAATAATACAGTGACCTGCAAGAAGAATATTATTGCCCATTCCTCCTGGGACACTGTGGAGTTCATGTATATTGGTTTTCCTTCTTATGCAATACACTGATGTAAGGAGAACTTTAGTGATGGTAAGATTAGTCACACACGTCTTAAAACTAGTTTTAACTTTATGAAAAAATCTGTGGTAGAAAATCCATTACAATTGTTTATTACCTTCCCATTATTTTAAATTTCCACCAAAGCAGATGACATGGACTTATATGTAAATTCATCATAATTATCAATATTGACATTCTCCTCCACCATCAACATCGACGCTTTTTTCCGTGACTTTTCTCAAAACACTAAATGACTTCTTACATACATAAAAAAAATTTTCCCTCACTCATATGTGTGTGTGTCTCATCACGGAACGCTGAACAATTTTGTGAACAAGTCACATGAATATGAACATTAATCACTGTGCTGAGACAAATGTCTTTTCAATTTCCTCAAATCACTGAATGTTTTTTTACACACATTGCAAGAATACGGACATTCTCCACTGTGTATGCGTCGATGTGACTTCAAATTACTCAGCACACTAAATGATTTACTACATATCTCACAGGAATATGGTCGCTCGCCACTATGTATGCGTTGATGTGTTGTCAGAGAGCTATGTACACTGAAAGATTTATTACACACACCACAGGAGTAGGGACGCTCTCCACTATGCATGCGTTGGTGAGTTTTGAGAGTACTCTGTTTAGTGAATGATTTACTACACATATCACAACAATATGGACGCTCTCCGCTGTGCAGTAATCGATGTGTTCGTAGATTACTCTCTACAATGAATGATTTATTACACAAATCACAGGAATATAAACGCTCCCCACTATGTATGCGCTGATGAATCTTCAAAGAACTCAGTACACTAAATGACTTGCTACATATATAACATGAGTATGGACGCTCTCCACTATGTATACGTAGATGAATCTTGAGAGAACCCTGCACACTAAATGATTTATTACACACATCACATGAATATGGGAGCTCCCCACTATGTATGCGTTGATGAGTCTGCAGATGACTTTTATTACTGAATGACTTATTACAAACATCACATGAATATGGACGCTCCCCACTGTGTATGCGCTGATGAGTCTTCAAATTGCTTGGATCACTGAAAGATTTATTACACATGCCACATAAGTAAGGACGAACTCCACTGTGTATGCGTTGATGTTTCTTCAGATTACTCTGTTGACAGAACGATTTATTACACACACAACACGAATATGGACGCTCTCCACTATGTATGCGTTGATGTGTCTTCAGATTACTCTGATCACTGAAGAATTTGTTACACACATCACAGGAGTAGGGATGCTTCTCAGCATGTGTGGGTTGATGGCCATTCAGAATATTCTGATATGAAAGAAAGGTAAATATTAGGTTAAATATTAACACAAAGCAGTATGTGTTTCCAAGGCAGCCTTAAATAATTATTTCAGTTCTGAATTATATTCTTTACTAAATCACATTACATTAGGAGACATGGTGTACAGCATGCTGTAAATCAGGGGGTCTTGAATATTTTTTTGGAGCACCCACCTACACAGTACAAAAGACAACAACAAACAACACTACAAGCACATGATGGGAACCTATGTGTGTGTAAGTACTGTACACCTGTACCAATAATTCATTTGATGTGCCTGAGACCAAATCTTGGTTTGCTATCCAATAATACCACTCTCACTCCTCAGAATTTGCAAGGCATATCATACATAATATTGACTAAATGTATATTAACACAGAACATTTTCCAATTCTAACATTAATATCTCATTCTTCTGAACTGCTTGTTTCAGAGGTAGTGGCAGAAATATTTTAGGATGGTAGATGTCCACTGGAACTTGTGCTACATTCACTGCTATCACTTTACTTGTCTTACCAGTATATTCACAAATAATCCAACTACCCATGTTGAATGAAGCATATATTAAAAATTACAAAAAGAAAAAAGTGTGTAATAAACAAGAAGAAATCTAATATTTTCCCTAATGGACAAACCCATGGATAAATAGATGCATGGATGAATAACCTCACAAAGGAACAAATGCATTAAGAAACAATCTCACTGCCTCTTCAATGGAAATTGTTCTAATACCCAGTACACCATGAATGCTCAAAAGCTTATAACACACTGGACTGGATGAGAGGTTTGGGTTCATACACAGGTTTCTGATAGGCTGTGTTAGTACTGTTCATTTTGGGGAGAGTTTTAGAGTATAATTAGAACAGTAGGAGGCCATGAAGGTGCAGCAACTGTTGGAGTACGGTTAATATAGGAACCGAACTAGTCTGTAAACGATGAGAATGACAGAAATGAATCTAAAATATCATATTGGAAGTAAACATTCAGAAAAATTAAAGGTATGACAACCTTGCAAAGTAAATATTTATTACATGATTACAAACATATTTTTCTACTTTTCTTTGAACTCCAAAATTAATTTTCTATGCCCCCACCCTAAAACACGTGTTCCACAGTTTAAGAGCCCCTGCTGTAAATGATGCAAATATCATTGGCTCCATATTGTTTTACAACACAATACAGAATGGCATGTATACAAACAACATTTGTGACTTTTCTTTGAAGAACCAAAGAAGCAATAAAAGACCAACTTCTAATTTTTTAATAAAATTTGGTATGCAAATTCAGAAACATATGCAGAATATTAGAATGTGGCTAGAGTAGCTTAGTGATTCGTCATGGTGTGTTCACTTCAATCTGCTCAGTTATTTCTGACCGTAGAGTCTGTTTGTCGTGCTCAACGATCGCCAAAATGTTTTCAACTCGATGTTGGATATTATCATCCAACTCTGACCGCATAGATCGCATTTCGGCCTTAATTTCTTCCTTGTCGGCCTTCCTATCGGCCTCCGCCTTTTCTTGGTAGGCGTCTAATTTTGTCAGCATGACTTCGGTTTGTTTCTGGTTGACGTCTAATTTTGCCAGGAAATCTACTCTGTCTTTCATTCTATCGGCCTTCATTTCTTCCTTGTCAGTTTTTCTATTGTCCTCCATTCTGTCTTGGTAGGATCTCATGTTGGCGTCCATTCTTGCCATGAAATCCTTACGGTCGGCATCTGCCTTCGCCAGTATTTCATTGTTGTTTTTCATGCTGGCGTCCATCCTAGCCAGCATTTCCATCATCTGCTGCATCTCCATTTTGTAGCAGTACAATATTCGATGCACAACAATTCAATTTGTGGCGTGTTTAAGTTCGTAACACTTCTGACACCAGTGTAACGTGTTTACGTTACTGAAGACGCCGTAGAGATGGTTAATTGGTTTATTTAACAATCTACAAATAACGGCTACAATTAATTATCACACAGTTGCGGGGTTTCACACTTTATAACCCTAATCGCATTAATCTGTTAACACTGTTGCGGGGTTTCACGACTTATAACCCTATGCGCAAATCAGTTCACTCTGTCTTCAGTAGTCTACACGTTTACAGTAGGGGAGCTATGTATCGCGGTATCAAACGCTCACAATTACACAATCACGCACACGTCCGGTTCTTCTTTCCGCGACGGCTGCTTTACTCCAACTATAGTCGGCTGACTGGAGAACTGTTGATAACACACTCGCTCGTCGACTACTTAACTCAGCGATGTCCACACTATAACTCGGCGGCTGTACAACTGAAGTCGCCGACTGCTACAGTAGAACTCGCTGGTATCCACATTAGAACTCTGGTACCGGTTGTGCAGCTTACTTATATAGCCGCAGGATTGCCTGTTACGTTCCACGTCACAGTAGGAAGCAGTTCCGCGTCACCGCGGAGGGGAGTGGCGGGGCGGGCTTCGTTACCGTGCGGAGGAGGGGGAGGGGAGCGCTGACTCACCCGCCGCGTCACTGCTGGTGGGGGGTGGTTCTCCTTAGCGCAACATGTCACAATATGTTTCCAGTAAAAAGGCCCAGTCACCAAAGCCACTTTTATCCTTTTCATTATCATTTATTACTGTGACAAACAGTGCATAATCTGCCACAGAACTTACATGCAAACTTTCAGCTAGTTGCTGCTCTGAGAGTTCTGCTAATCTCTTTCTCCTACCAATGACCACTAATTTTGGAAATCAGTGCAGTTTGGGCAGCCTAGTTTACAGGTGACTGCAGTAGAATGGTATTCATACTGATGTTGGTTTCCAAATATCAACAATAATGTCAATCAGTACACAAACATCCAATTGCAATAGTATGGAAACAGAGGTAACTCCTATAACAGTGTGAATGTCAATCCATAAAAAACCATTGTCACAGATCTTTAAGAACACAGTTTCCCCATTCAATATCCTTCACTATGAAGGATGGGCAGATGAACTATGGGAGGTTTTGCAGCTATAACATTTGCTTGAAACATCTGTTTGCTCATTATTTAATTTAATGTATCTTAAAACTGACTTCTGACAAAAAGGAGGAGGTATAATACAAGCAATGAGCAACAAAATAACAGATGTTTGGAAAGTAGCTCTGCACTCAAAACCCAGTCACAAGAGTGGAGTTTCATGGGAAGAGACAGATGAACATAGTTAATGCAACAGGAAATACTGGATATCTGTAAAATGTCATGAATAATGGACACCCAGACCTACATAACTCACCTCATGTTCAGCAGGTACTACTGGTAATGTTACTAACAAAGGATCCTCCTCTTGTGGATCTGTGACCTCAACTTTTACATCAGTGGCCTTATTCCCATCAACAAAAGATGTTACACATGTCTCACTACATGAAGTAGGTTCAACTTTCAGAATCTCCATGTAGTTCTGTAATACCACAGCATCCCTATGAATCATGACTATGTTCATTCATTACATAAAAAAGCATACAATCATCATAACCAATTTACACTAGACTACCATCATTAGCTGTACTGTATACATTTTCATCTTTACAGCTATCAAAATCAACACTGTAAATATGACTGCTAAGCCCTGACATACAGAAATGCAAAGGCTGCCTTGTGGTAAATACCGTTTTCCACATCTGACCTTCATACAGTCATGCAAAGTTTTCTTCTTTCCTCCGAACCTGACACTGTCTACTGACAGAAGTGGTACATACTCAGTATGTGACATGCAAAGGGTTAAAGGTACACCATCCATATAATGTTTAATTACAGGCACAATGCTAGACCTGGTTTATTTAGGAGTAGTTCAAGACTAGTTCATCATGTTAGATAACCAGCATTCATGGAACTTAAATCAGGGAAAAATAAATAGAAGACTGTTAAATATTTATACTTAATATGATAAAATATGTGGATACTAACAAAAGATCATTAAAAATAGAAATAAATTGACGATGAAATAACTTGTTCAGATATTTTAATATAAGGCAGTCTAGTCCATCACACAGTTTAACATTAAGTGAACACCACCACCCTCGAGTGTGACCAATTTCATGTAATTAAATAAAATTGGCCATACTCGAGGGTGTTGTACACTCAAACTTACTAAGAGTTTTGAAAGAACCTAGCTCAATCCATGCAACATAGTCAGGGGTGAGAATCTAACAGTCTCTCAGATGGTCAAGAAATTCCCTACCTTTCATGGAACATGAAGGCTCATTACCTTCAACATAGATAAAAGTGAATGGGTTGCCATAACACAAATGCTTTTTTCTATCAGTTCACAATGTTTTGGCCTAGGCAGGCCATCATCAGGTGATTCTTGAGGAAATGCACAAAAAGTAACAGACTACATATAACCCGCAGTGATAGTATAAACAGGAGTCGGGATAGTGTAGTCGGTATAGTGAATGGCTATGGGCTGGACAACCAAGGGGTCAGAGTTCGAATCCTGGTAGGGTAAAATTTTTCATTTCAACATGTTGTCCAGAGGGGCTCTGGTCCACCCAACCTCTTATACAATGGGTACTGGGTGCTCTTTCCCGGGGGTAAAGCAGCGTGAAGCTGACCACACCTCCAACTAGTTCCGAGGTCAAGCAAATGTGGACCTATACATCCACTCCCCCATACGCCTTCATGGCGTAGTGCTTGGTTAGTTAGTTTCGATAGTATAAAACATTTTCTTTGCTGTTTACAATTGGTGGGACGTAGTCTAGACTCTAGTGGTCAGCATTCCTGGCTACAGATCCAGAGGTCCGGGTTCGATTTGCAGCACTACAAGATTTGTTCTGAGAAGTAATGGGTCAGCCTTGTGATGATAATTGAGAAGCTATTTCAAGGAAACTGCGGCTCCGGTCTAGAAAACCGAAATTAACGGCCGTGGGGATTCGTTGCACTGACCACGCGACACCCTCTATCCGCAAAAGTTGGCACTAAACTTCATCGACAAGCAGCGGTTACTCAGTCGATATAGTTCGCTTGCGGACTAAGTCACAGAGAGTTTACAATTTGTGGGATCTGACATAATACTAAATGTACAAGGGCTATTTGGAAAGTAACCTCCAGTGAGCTATTAACAAAACAAGCAATGAGAAAAACAAATATTATTATATACTATTATATTTAAGCATCCTGTTGCACTCTACACGATAAATGATACAAACTCCGTCCTAAGTGCAAACAATATATATTTATATGTCTTTGATCTTGTTCTTTCTACACTACATGTTTCGGCCTCTATCGGCCATCATCAGGTGTATACTCTTAACGTTGCTGCCACACTGAACCCAGTCTAAAACTTAACATTTAAAAACACAATGTCACATTCTTCGTATTATCAACATCTACATCGTTGATATGTGTCTGGTATGTAGATTATGTTGCACACGTCAAACCCGATATTCTTGTAGTAGCACTCTAAAAATCTTTAGTTATGATGTTTTTAAAACCTTTTAAAATTTTCTCTAAATTTTAAATTTTAAATTGTGGGGTCATTTGCATAAGTAGGCATTGCAACTGCATGCAACTCATATATTTTCCCTCTCAGTCTATCCTTAATAGTTATGACTCCATGGCAGTAACAAAGAAGCTCATACATGAGGTGAGGCAGTTGTGTGCTGCCTCTCTAGAGTTCACAACTAGCCTCTGCAATTCAGTATTGCATTTATATGCATGGCCGTATATGCATACACGGGTACTGCCATAATCTGGAGTGATTTGAAGCACTAGTGCTGCAGCTATATAACGAAATCTGTGAGGTTCAAGTTCAGAGCGAATTGGAACTAGAAGTGACAGTGGCAGTGAGTGACAAGAGTTCTGAGTTCTCGGTAGGAGTCCCACTGTAAGTCTGTCAAATTGTGAAGATTTGAAGACTTTATTTATGTGATATCTGGAATGATCTGAAGCACTACTTCCTGTGTTTTAATTGCACTACCAGGAGAGGACTCTTGTGTGCATGCGCGCACATGTGTCTGTGTGTGTGTGTGTGTGTGTGTGTGACAGAGAATAATAATGTGTAGATCAGCGATAGCACTGTAGTATATGTAATTAGGACAGGGTGTAACCAAAGTGCTAATAAATCCAATACTCTGTACTAGAGCTCATTTTCGTCATGTGTACCACCTTACACACGACAATATGTATGGGTCCTATTCCGAACATTTTCTGAGATACAGCTAATTCACTGTATAGTTCCAAAAGTGTTGATAAGAAAAAAGATACTACATACAAGTAAAGTAAAGTAAAGGTATCCCTGTAACAGGCCATGGAGGCCCATAGGGTTGCAAGATGTTGAGGTTCCCACATCTTCCAGACAATTGGCTCATAGATGGTGGCAAGGTTGTCAGCCCTACACGCCAGCCGCCCTTTACCCCCAAGAATATTCCAATATTCCTGGTACTCATTTCTGTTAGAGGCTGAGTCAATCCCAGAGCCATGGTGTGGCTGGAAGGATTAGGTCAATTGAAAAAAATCCAATTACCTCATCAGGACCTGAACCTACAACCTTCCAGCTTGTAGTATAGTGCCTCAAAACTACTCTACCGCATGCACACTACTGTTTCTAATACTGATATTTATTTGTTCAAGTGACAAAGTTAGTGCAGTTTACCTAGTATAATACATTTTTGAAAATTCCACCATCAACATCACTGCACTTTGCAAATCATCTCATTCCTGTACAGTGTACTGTACAGTGATATAGCTCTATCTCACAAACTTTTTGGGATAGGGCACATGCACACATACACATGCTCAGAATGACCGATACTATGACTTCCCAGAATATTAACCTTTCCTCCTTGGACACCACATACATACACAATCCAAATTCAGAGAGTGGTGTTGTGTCCTGTTTTAATAGGAGCACTGCTGAGGAAAAACCACATGGCTGGAGATTTTATTATATTGGCCCAACAAGAATAATATTCCATTCAAACATATTAGATTCTTATGAACACTCTGAGTTGAATATCATATTAAGAATAACATATCAAAATAAATTCCAACAAATAGGGGAATAACAGCAATAAAAACATCTGAAAACATAACTCACCTTGGGTTCAGGCTTTACAGGAAGTGATGATGATGATATATAAACCTCATCACTTTTCAAGTCAATTGCTTCTTCTTCTTCACTCAGAACATCCACATCTATTTCTACTTTGATTACTGTATTTTCCTGTAAAATTATAAATAAAGGATAATCCTGTTTGACAATATATTTCCTGTTTAAAACACTACATTACTTTGAATATATGATACATATTTTACACATTTTTCCCCCACTGAAAAATTGAACTGTCTTATTTTTTATGTAATGTGGTATAAGCAAAAGAAGACAGAACACACATAACAGATGATTCAATACTCAAACTTCTAATATTCTAATGTCACTAATGCAGCTGCCCCCCTCCAAATAGAACAGTGGGTCACTGATATATTGGGTTTTTGGACTTTATCCATCGTCCTGGTTTTTAAGATAACTAATAAAAACACGACGTTTCGGAAACTGGATCTGTTTCCGTCCTCAGGTGAAGGAAAACACCTATTCTGTTGGGTCCGTTAGAAAGAGCTAGCCTCAATCACTGGACCAGTGTGTCCAGTGATTGATTCCTTCACCTGAGGACGGAAACAGATCCAGTTTCCGAAACGTCGTGTTTTTATTAGTTATCTTAAAAACCAGGACGATGGATAAAGTCCAAAAACCCAATATATCAGTGTGTTATACACCATCGTCAGAATCCTACAGTAACTACTTAGAACAGTGGGTGCCAGTCAAATTGCTGATGGCCCTCACCAGGCACAGGCATCACATTTGTTTCAACCGTAATTTTGCACAAGTGTACCCGCATTCACGCAGCATCCAGGTAAGGGCATTTGTACTTTATGGACAGCATACATGCTCTGTCACTTTACTACAGTGAATAATACTTAAGCAAGACATATATAGGGCATGTCAATGCAGGCTTCTGCAGCAGATTATGCCTTAACTCCTTTTACCACTCTGACATAGCAGTCACCTGAACAGTCATAGGCCTGATTGCTGCCAAATTTCAGCCTCTTATACTTCCTATGCATGGCTTCTCCTCATAGTGAGTGCCCAGAAAAGCTGTTCTTGCACTTAATTAGTTAAGCACTATGCCATGCTCATATATGGAGGAGTGGAGGTATAACCATGCTTGACCTCAGCACTATGAGGGTGTGAGTGGTCAGCTTCATGCCCAGGCTGCTTTAACCCCCTGGTACCCATTGGATAAGCTGTAGAGAAGAAAAGTATCGTATCCCTGTCGGAATTCAAACCTCGGCCATCCAGCCCACAGCCAATCACTATACCAACTGAGCTATCCAGAAACAAACAACAAACAAACATAATGTGACATGATGGCTGAAAGCTGGCATAGCAAACCGAGAAAAGTCATCAATTGCTATGCAATGGTCACTAACCATGTTTCCATGGCAACCAAAACACACTCCTGCATTAACAATAACTGGGCCATCCCCAGGCAACAGCCTATTAAAAAGTCATTCAGCAATAGAGGAATTCTTGGAAACGGTGTTTTGTATGTGGTATATGTGAAGGTTGTACAACATTGACACCAGCCAAGTCAACATTTGGTGTGTGTGTGTGTCTGGAGGAGAGGACCAGTTAGTGAGTGAGTGTCCATTCGAGTCATTATGATCCTAACTGAAGTCTTCTGCACATGAAGTACGACAATGCACATTAGAAACAGTGACAATGAAACGATCCTCACACTCATCTAATTCTCTGTATTTGCATACATCCTCAACACTAACTATAGCAACTTTCAGAGAAAAATAAAATACTCCAATCTCTTTGAGTTGCACATAATAACATTAACTGAGAAGCACAATAGACCACTGTAGGTCGCGGGGCAAGGGCCGAGGAGGCCTACTCCTCATACATACATTCATTCATTCATTCATTCATTCAACATTAACTGAAAGCCACACCTTTCATAAGCACAACAACCCTCACAGAACTCAAAGAATGGGAAACAGAATTAACACTTTCTTCTCACAAAATATTAAGTTTTAACAACCATTTAATGGAACAAACAACATAACAAACTTCCCTGCACCAAACACTCACCATTTTTCCTTCAGACTAGGATGTCAGTTCTCTGCACTACAAATTTTGGCACTCTTATTGCAAGAGACTGCAGTATCCTTTAATCTTAGAAACTGTTGAACAGTTATGACCATTTGAGGGTTCTGTAAGAAAGTGGCTTATAAGAGTCAAGTTCCAATAATTTTAACTGATATGGAATACAGTCGTCTTGAAAGGGAACATAATAATTAGAAGTGCTGTAAGGAACATAACATATTTAGGATTTGAAGCTTTCATGGGTGCTAAAAAATCTTCTCAGGCCATCAGCAATGTCAATGTTGAATTAAAAAAACAACATTTGACTGATCTCCTCCATCAGCAGGGTTGATGTGGTGAATTACCACAAAAAACGTAAAGCTATCCCTGTAACAGATGCACAATAGATCATTGAAGGTCGCAGTGCAAGGGCCGGTTTTTATGGCTCACCCCTCATACTCATACTCATCCCTGTAACAGGCCATGGAGGCCCAGAGGGTTGTTAGATGTCGAGGTTCTCATATTTTCTAGGCAAATAGCTCATAGATGGCGGTGAGGGTGACAGCCTTATGCACCAGGCACCCTTTAGACCCCAGGAAGATTCCTGGTACCCATTTCTGTTAAAGGCTGAGTCAACTCCAGGACTATTGTGTGGCTGGAAGGACTAGGTCAATTAAAAAATCCAATGACCTTATTGAGAATCAAACCCCAAGGGCTATTCAGAAAGTGACTATTTTGGGAAGTAGCTTAAGTAGGTACTTATTTTTTGTATATAATAAAATTTCTTTTTCTCATTGCTTTGTTTTGTTAACAGCACATGGGAAGTTACTTCTTATGCAGTTCTCTCCAACCTCCCGTCACTTCATCTACCTTTTACCTTTCACATGCATTAATTTACATATTCTGTATATGGGCCGCCTTCCAATCAGATACTGTGTGCACGCACACGCTATAAAATTCTCTTGACATGACATTACCAACCTTTGAAAATTGTCTGAAACAGAATGCCCTTTTGGAACAGAGCCCTGAGAAACATATCCCCCACCAACCGAATTTAAAAATAATAAAACATTTGTTTGTGTGGCGGTAACCCCTCCATTTTTATTTGTAAGCACCACAAACAGAATGCAACAGTACTACTAGACTGCTCTTGTTTATTTCCCTAGATGGCTTGACTTACTTTTCCTACTTCATCTTTAAATGATTCGCCTAATGTATGCAATGAACTAGTCAGCTGGTCCATTCTGTACATATTTTTCTGCTTTAGGTTGCGAATCATTCACATGTACTGTTAGTTCCTCGGAACTCTAGCCACGGTAGAGGGGGTCAGACCATCTCTCCTGGAGCTGGGGGAGGTCTTATCAGCTTACGTCAGTGTGGGTACTATCAGTTTGGAATGTAGCATTTTGGAGTGTGGTCAGGTTTATAGTACGTACGCTGTGTTGCTTGTCAGTTGGTACCAGTCATAGCGATTGTATGTGTGATATGGTGTTATGCTGGCCAGAAGTGCGATAAGCCAGTGCTTTCGCTCCACTGCACTGTATCGATTCCGCGGTATCTACTCCTGGTCTCCGTAGGCAATGTTTTCCTCTTGGGGAGTAACTATGAAAGTCACCACAGCAAGTGTACAGCTTCGCGTGCTCCACAACAGCGTTTACTTTCCGCGCGGCTGAAGTTACGAGGCACTAACTATATCTGAAGTGCATTTCTCCCCTTCTCCTGAATGACAGCCTTGTTTGCGTTGAGTATACTGTAGCATTCAGACTCGTTGCTAGGCAACAGATTCCTAACACGCACCAATGGCCTAACTGGGAAGCGGTGTTCCCTACGCGGTCAGTGCGACAGCTGTGTGAGGCAACAATAGAACTATTGGAAGCGGCGTTTTATATGCAGTCTGTGTCAAGGTGCATAAGCAGGAGTGTAGAGTTTAGTTGGTTGTGGGACAGTCGCCGGCCAGTAAGGGTGTGAACATGGAAGACGAGGACGCTACGGCGTTGGAAGCCATTACCTGGCGATAACCGGTGAAGATGCAGTAGACTGAGAAGACTTAGTGTGTGCTGTAGTGAAGTGCAGAGAGTGTATGAATTAGTGATAGAGGTATACTTAATTGTAGTTACATTCTGTAAGAGTTCAATAAATCTAATTAACAGTCCAATTCCCGCCTATAGTTACGCTTACATGTGTTAATAGTCTATTCTTATCTTTTTCCTGCCTTTGTCACTCCTTAAAACATGCTTTACTAACGTTTTAGTCGTACGAACCTTATGTCGACCCATTCCTCGTTCGATTCAGCTCTGGGGAGCTGCTGGATGGGAGAAGAACGTTCCTGACAGCCGAGGAGCGGAAGCTCATATGAAATTAGTATAAATGTAATAAAGCCAGAGCTGTTTTGCTGCATGCAGTGTTCTACTGTAGAACTGATGATACGGAGAGCAGCTTCTATGACGAACTAGAACGTGTATTCAACAAATTCCCTAAATATCACATGAACATTCTTTTAGGATTTCAGTGCCAAAGTAGGCAGGGAAGACATTTTCAAACCAACAACTGGGAATGAGAGTTTACACGAAATTAGTAATAATAATGGAGTTAGAGTAGTAAACTTTGCCATGTTAAAAAAATCTGATTGTCAAAAGTACAATGTTCCCACACAGTAACATTCATAAATTTATTTGGACATCTTCTGATGGAAAGACTCACAATCAAATTGATCATATCGTGCTTGATAGATAGAAGATGGCATTCATGTGTACTCTATGGCTGATCTTCCAGGGGTAACAAAAGTTGATGAGAGACTGGCAGTGAATAAAGAAACAATGAACAGATTTCATATGGAGAGGTTCAATCTCAAGAGATTAAATGAGCTCGAGGGTAAAGAGCAGTATCATGTTGAAATCTCAAATTGGTTCGCAGCTTTGGAGAACTCAGACGCTACGGTGGATATTAATTGAGCTTGAGAGAATATCAACATTTCACCAAAGAGAGTCCAAGTTATTAGAAAATTGAGAAGAATAAGCCATGGTTTGACGAAAGATGCTCAAAATTATTATATAAAAGGAAACAAGCCAGACTGCAGTGGTTACAGGATCCAAGCGAAATAAGTGAAGATAATTTGAACAATATAAGACGTGAAGCTAGCTGAAGATGGTATGGCTGAAAGATAAAATTAATGAGCTTGTAACAAACAGTAAGAACAAGAATATTGGAGACCTGTGTAGAGGAATAAATTCATTAAAGAGGGGTTACCAGTCTAGAAGTAACATAGGGAAGGATGAGAATGGTGACCCACAACATTTTGAATAGGTGGAAATACTACTTCTCTCAGTTACTGAATGTACATAGGATCAGTGTATATGTTGCTGTCTCGTCACTAGAATGCACGGCTCTCCCGTTTACTACAAAACGAGTTCGATTCCGAGCATTGACGTTGGGAGTTTTAATTTACCGACAGCACATTCACCAAATAACAGGTGGTATGGTTCTTTACGGTTGTTGTTATTATTATTAGAGGGGGTGGGTTTCCCCATGCACCGCGACTAATAGTCTATTGTACGTCCCCCTTTGATATTCTACCAGTCGTCATACCCTACCGGTACTGGTGCGTGCTATCAGCCCCGTTCAGCCAACGAGGTCGGCCCTCGGTACCTCGATACTTCCCCCATCTACCAGAGGCACTGGAAACTACTTGGGCGGGAAACTTGCCTAATTTTGCTAGAGGTCTCCTAGAGACATGAGGATCTTTTACGTGCCGTAAATCTACGAGACGGGACCCACGGCTTAAAGTCCCTCCTGGAGGACTTGTTCCCTGAATTTTTTCGCCCTTAAAAATTCCACGACCTCCGCCGGGTTTGAACCCGCGTACCTTGAGTCATGAGGTGGGAACGTTACCCTTAGACTATGGAGGCCGCTTCCTTTATGGTTAAAGCTGGCTAGAACGTGAAGCTAACCGTAACTTTCGTGGGATATGTTTCTTGTATCAAGGGGGAGAACACGGGGACATGCGTGCATATATCCATTATGTAGGTACATCCGTGGCGGAAGAAATGTCACGATCAGAATTCGGGTTACATTAAAGTTGCTACTGGTCTGATCTGATTTATTCAAGGCATGTGGTAGTCGCTAATTATGAGCGTAATTGAACAGTGAGGCACACGCGCCAAGATGGACAGCCTCTTACGTAACGATACGGGCAACTGTTATCACTTCTCTTGAGGTGGGTTCCCACAGAAGCACACTCAGGACTCCAGGATCCGTGTTAAAACGAAGGATAGGTACGAACCACACACTGAAACATTAGTTCTGTCATACCTTGCTGTGAAGGAATCCAGATGCCGAAGAGCCATAATTTCCTATTTGCAATCACTTGCATTCTGTAATGTGGAAAGAGAACTAACCGCATTGCAGACTGCTACCTTCTTCTCAACAGAATCTAATTATCTAGAAACCCTCCTTCCATTTGCTTTTCATTAGGAGACTGAATTAAAAAGGAACGATTTCTCTATCATTCAGATTGACTTAACAATGAGATTCTCCAGTAAACTACACTTGTGCTACATTACTGGGTAAACGTTAAAAAGTTTAAAATAATTCTAGAGGTTAATTTCCCACCCCCTTCGAACACTCGCAGGCACACAGGACCATAATTATTCACGTCTATAAAAATACACTTCTCTGGTGTCAGATATGAGTCACACAACATGGAATTAATTTCTGATTCATAAAACAGGATATTTAATTTCTTTAGCAGCAGAGTTGAAGCTAACGTAACACATAAGACTGTCCCATTAATTAGTACAGCCACTGCAAATATTTTCTGGTGGAAATTATATCGTCTTCATAAACTTCAGGTGTAATATTGGAACTTCGTAGGCCATTATCAATATTGACACGTTATGTAAACTTTGAAATGAAAGATGGGAAACAATGCAATATGAAATGCTAACAATCCCATATAGAAGATGCAAAGAGCTGGTCGGCTTAAGTATGTATATTTCACAGCTGACGAAACAGCAACATACCTTGCGATCGTTACCCACGCGGTTTCGAATTCGAAGTACTATATAATAATTGATAGTTATATTTAATGCTACAGTATTGGTATGAGAATACATCGTTGATTATGCTGCCATCTGTCATATTTTTGTGCTAAAATTCGTAAGTGGTAAAGAACGTAAAGGAGTTAAAGAACTAAAGAAGTAAAGAAGAACAGCTGTGTCCGCCGAGAGGCCCCCGAGTAAGGGAGCAGTTGAGCGATGAAGTGGAAAATTTTTGCTACGCTGTTTGAGATATTCGTAGGCATATCGGCATCTACACATTGGGTTGTTACAGAGAATGGACGTGTACAATCACAGGTATGGAAGGTCACTTGTGTTATGTGTAATTATTAGTAATTTTTATAGTGGCTGTGCTATGATGATCAGAAGAGTTCCAGATTGTTTACATATGAATTAAATATTACACTGTAGAATGGAGTAACATATTTCTGTTAATTTCTCTCAGTTCCTGAGGTTAAATTATACTGTATATTTTAAATAGTAGAATTGTAGGTATTAGAATTATTATGGTACAAGAATTCATTGAGGTAGGACCTACATCTGTTGTTAACTGGATCCGCTTTCCATCAGAATATGTATTATTCACAGCTGGACTCAGCTTTCCATCTTCGCCGCCCATATGATCTGCTGGCACTGCTGGAGCAGGAATCACGAGTCAGAAACATAGACATGCTGTACAAGGAACTGGTGTCACACAAAGCTGCCATAGACAGAAAGTGGGCCAGTCTAGAGGGTGCAACAGACCTAGAAGCTCGATTGTATTCACATGATCCTGATTGTCTTTGGGCTGGACATCCTTTGTCAGATACAGACTTATATCCCAGCCTGGCTGGTGATATCCAGGATCGCATTAGGTGGGAATGTCATTTTAAACATCTCAACAGAAGGTTAAAGCACCTGACTTGTAGCTCTTCTTTGTATGTAATAATGAAACAGTACCTCTGTTATTGCATGCTTTGGTTGGTGCCCATTTTTTGTAGGTAGTGGAAAAGATGTCATGAAGCTTGTTGTATCTGATGTGTATATTTTTTCCTGCATTACAGCTCAAACCAATGAGAAGGCTATGATTAACTACTTGGTACATTTTAGCAACAAGGCTTGGAGGACAGTAAGCCTGTTGCATTACTCTGTTTGGTTAATATAATGGAGATTATTGATTCCAGAGAATGTAACCCTTTCTCCCCATAATGTGTTAGATTGTGGTAAGATGAAATGTGCCCTGGCCCATTTGGCATAGTAAAACTCAGATGTTTACAGGCACTTGAATGCAGTACTTTACTTTTGTGTGTACCACCTGGTAGTTCGGTAGATGGAGGCAGCAGTTCCTCCTGCTGAACTATATAGCATGACTCCTCAGAAGACCTCAGTCTTAATATTCACCTCCATGAGGACCTCACATCTCATTGATTGTTGTTTCAGGTTGGATCAGTACCTTCCAATTGGTGTACCTGCAGATGGACCTTCATTGCCTTTCTGTATGCACACATTTTCCTTGGATTTCAGTATGCAAACATTTGAGCACCTCCATGTAAGTAGATATGTTTTACTTGCGATGGCCATTTTATTTGAGACTGATTTGTTTAGTTTTGATTTGAGGTCCTCACAGTGGTGAATATTAAGGTTTTGGCCTCTGGAATGTGATTCTGTTTAGTTTGGTAGAGATGTACCAATGTTCCAGGAGAATCTGCTGATTTGACCTTAAGGTTAGGTTCCTGCACTCTAAATAAGGAGAAAGCAGTTCTTGTTTATATTGTATTTAATTATGAACATTAATGGTCTTATGAAAACATTGAAGAGCCACACAGTTAGGATAGTGAAGTGTCACATGTGGAACTGGAACCATGGGTTGTCAACTGGAATTCTGCAAAGATGCATTTCCCAGTGGATTTGCAAATTATATCTATGAGAGTGGTGCAAGATAAACCTGGACTTTAATCTTTTCTGAAGATATGTGCATTAGAAAAATTAAACTCTTCTATGGGCAGTTGGTGGCAGCTTGCATTCACTGCCAGGCAAGTGGCCATGTGCCCTTCTGCTGTGCCTGAGAGCTAGTAAAAGAGGGTGTCAGTCCTCGTCACTCCTAGTGTAGAAGAGCACAGTATCATGAAATTCCTAGCGGAAGCGAGAAACATTGGAGAAATTATCCATGAACACATATTTTTCAAAAAAGTGTGTGCCTGATGAGTCTCAAAGATGTTGATTTTTGACCAGAAGGTGCACTGTATTGCTCTATCTGTTGTAAAACCTTTCGTTTATTTTTTCTTGATCGACACACTTCCACTTTTACATCCAGTAATGTCATCTGGTATACGTACTAGCGTGCACGTGCGCATACAAAAAACCAACTTACCACCACACTGCCTGGAACCGTACTGGGACAGCCATGTGGTTAGATTGTATGACATGCATATATAAGTATTACCAACATATACAACAGAAACAACATGCATATATTAGTATTACCAACATTCCCCTGTAATCATAGCATGTAAATTAAATAACTCTAATTAATAATAATAACCAAAATATTATGGTACAATCACATGGGCACATAAATTCAATTTATACAATCAAAAGGTTTCATGCCCAATGCATCTAGCAAATATTCATGCTTCACCTTAGGTAAACTCTTCGGCATTACATCGGCCTTCATAATTTCTGTAGGCACATATTCAAGATCAATCAATCCATTCTGTACTACCTCTCTTACATAATGATATCGTACATCGATGTGTTTACATCTGGAATGAAATACTGGATTTGAGGCTAACTTGATACAACTTTGATTGTCAACATTCATCAAAATTGGAGAGTCATCATTTAATAGTTCCATCAACATTTTTCTGAGAAAAACACCCTCCTTACAAGCCTCACTTAGAGCAATATATTCAGACTCAGTAGTAGAAAGTGCAATACTTTTCTGCTTCCTTGTCTCCCAAGAAATAGGTCCGTTTGCTAATTCAAAAATGTTTCCCGAGTAAGGCTTCCTATCTTCTCCATTAGCATAATCTGAGTCAGAGTACCCAACAATGGATTTTCCTGTCTTAGAATACACCAAACACAGGTCCTTAGTTTTTCTTAGATAACGCAATACACGCTTGGCACATTTCCAATGTTCAGCCGTGGCACAAGAATTGTATTGACCTAGGAAACTGGCTGTAAAAGCAATGTCAGGTCTTGCTATAAGAGCTAAGTAATTGAGGCAGCCAACCAAACTTTGATAAGAGAAAATTTCACTTAACTTATCAGAATTGTTTCTGTCTAGCTTACAACCAGCAGGAAGAGGTGTAGATACATTTTTACAGTTTATCATGGCAAACTTTTCCAGTATCTTGCATATGTATTCCTCTTGATCTACATAAATACTTCCATTCCTTTTCCTAATTCTCATACCTAACAAGTACTTAGTTTCTCCAAGATCTTTTAATCTGAACTTAGATCCTAGTTTCTTTATAAGTCTTTCTTTTTCAGAGATATCATTGGTTACAATTAAGAAATCATCAACATATAATGCTAAAACAGTAAATGAATCATCCATCTTTCTGTAAAACATACATGGCTCATTAACAGAAACTTCATAACCAAGAGTTACCAACTCTTTAGTAATAGTAGTATTCCATGTACGTGAAGCTTGCTTCAATCCGTACAAAGCTTTGTTTAATAGACAAACTTTATTTTCCAATCCTTCAACAGTAAAACCCTCAGGCTGAGTCATGTATATTTCTTCTTCTAATTCTCCATTCAAGAAGGCTGTGCAAATATCAAGACTATACATCTTCAAATTTAACTCAACAGTCAAGGCTAACAAAAATCTTATTACAGACCTTCCAACAACTGGTGAATAAGTCTCATTATAGTCAATCCCATCAATTTGAGAAAAACCTCTAGCAACTAAGCGTGCCTTGTATTTGGGATCACTCTGTAAGTCCTTTTTAACTACATACACCCACTTACATGAGATAGCTTTCTTACCTTTGGGCAGCTCTACTAGATTCCATGTATTATTCTGAATGAGTGCATCATACTCCTCTTTCATTGCCCTTTTCCAATTATTTTTATCAGGTCCTCTAACAGCACTTGAATATGAATCTGGACAGTTGTCAACAAAACTTTCAACAGTCATGAAATTAGTTTCATAATCCTGCAACCACAATGGTGGGCGTCTAACCCTCATCATTGTACCTGGTTCATTCTCAACCTGTTGTACAGGAACTGCAAGTACATCATCAGTTTCAGCATCACTTAATACAGATGCAACCGGAGTATGATCACTCTCATTCAGATTTACAGTAGAGTCATCTAATACTTTTTCTGCATCAGGTTGATCCCCACTATCAGAGATCTCAGACCCAAAATAGCTAGGCTTGATGAAATCAGTAGATGCATTTACATTCTCTTCATCTACACTAGCCCTTACATTTTCCAAGAAAATGACATCTCGTGCAAATGTTACCGATTTAGGGTTGGACAGATCAATCAGTCTGTAGTTTCCAGACTTCTCACAGTATCCTACAAAACACATCCCCTTCGATTTAGAATCCCATTTAAGCCTATTTTCCTTTGGTACATGCATGTATGCCACACATCCAAATACTTTAAAATGGGATACATTAGTCTTTTCCCCAGACCAGCATTCCTGTGGCGTCTTATTTATCAAAGCTTTGTGTGGAACCCTATTTTTAATGTAAGTTGCCGTATTGATGGCTTCTGCCCACATTCGCTTATTACACTTTGCTTCACTCATCAGACATCTGGCCATCTCACAAAGACTACGATTAACCCTTTCGGCTAATCCATTTTGTTGAGGATTATAAGGTACTGTCACATGATGCTCTATCCCATTTTGCTCAAGATAATCAGAGAAATGTTTAGAAATATATTCCCCACCATTATCAGTTCGTAGGGCTTTAATAGTCTTCCCAACTTGATTCTCAACAAGAGCCTTGAAATTACAAAAAACAGTAAACACTTCACTCTTAGACTTTATGAAATATACAAAAACCTTTCTAGAGAATTCATCAGTAAAGGTAAGAATATACTTAGCTCCATTCCAGGACTCAACTTCCATAGGTCCACATAAATCTGAGTGGATTACGTCCAGTAATCCTTTTGCTTTACTCTTACGTGCCCTAAATGGTTTCTTTGCAAACTTGCCTTTTATACAAGATATACATGTATCCGGTACAGTGTCATTAAAACAAATACCTTCACATACTCCATTTTTAGCTATCTTCATACTGGTTGGATTAATATGACCTAACCTCTTGTGCCAGAGCTGATAATTTTTATCTTTATCAGTTTTTGCTAGGTTGACCCGTTCCATCTCCTCCACATCCATTTTGAACAGATTCCCAACCTTAGATGCAGTACCTAGAACATTACCTTTAATAGACATATTATGTTTACTATAAATCCTACAACCAGATTCCTCAAACACAACAACATGTCCTTTATCAACCAATTTACTCACTGACAACAAGTTTGTTCTGGCTTCTGGAACATACAGTACACTACTAATATTTGAAATAGAGTCATCATTCTTAAACTTTACCCGAACAGAGCCAGATCCTAGACATTCTAATTTATTTGTTCCCGTAGTGAACACTTCTACTCCAGTCATCTCCTTCTCTTTCTTAAACCAATCCAGTCGAGATGTCAAATGAGAAGTAGCCCCTGAGTCGACATACCAACTAGAATCATCATTGGTCTCCAATGTCCGTGCTGCGAAGTAGGAATTCTCGCGACGAGATGTCTTCTCTTTCTTAGCTGACATCTTGTCCTCTTGCTTTGAAAAACTCTTCTTAGTTCCCTGTTTCGAGGAATTCTGCACTTTCTTGGGGCAGTCCATCCGTACATGGCCAATTTCACCACACAACCAACACTTAGGTTTTCTTGGAAACCTTTCCTTTCCATGAGACAGAAGAGCCACATCTTCTTTACTATGTAAGTTCGTGTCATCATACTCTTGCAATTTTCTGGAAATCAAGTCAGTAGAAATTGTTATACCACAATTATCATAGGTTTGTCTCATTGGTTCAAACCTATCAGGCAAATTTGCCAACATCATTGCCGCTACGAATTCGTCATCAAGAGGTTTCTTCATTGACCGCAGCTTATCAGCAATGTCCACAAAAGCATGAGTCAGTCAGTCAAGTTTTCAAACTGTTCTAACCTCAATTGTCCCAGTTTGTGCAATAACTGACATCTTCGATTCAGGCCATCATCCTCAAAAGCTACAGAAAGCTTTTCCCATGCAGATTTAGCTGTTTCTGCATCATGAATGATAGGATAACAAGTGGGCTTCACCATGAGGCCAATCTTTATTAGGGCCGTTGCATCATGCTGGGTCTTCTGTGTTTCGGTCGTAGTATCTCCTGTAGGGTATCCATTTACACTGTTCCAAATGCCCAAGTCTTTGAGATAAAGCATCATCCCGAATTTCCAATCAGAATAATTTAAACGACCGTCCAGCTTTTCAATCGGTGGCAAGGTTGCAGTTGGATTCGACATCTTTGATAATACTCAAAAATATCCACAACTCTTCAGTTAATTATATACTACGCGCAGTGCTAGCATCCAGGGCCCATAACCTGTTGTAAAACCTTTCGTTTATTTTTTCTTGATCGACACACTTCCACTTTTACATCGAGTAATGTCATCTGGTATACGCACTAGTGTGCACATGCGCATACGAAAAACCAACTTACCACCACACTGCCTGGAACCGTACTGGGACAGCCATGTGGTTAGATTGTACGACATGCGTATATAAGTATTACCAACATATACAACAGAAGCAACATGCGTATATTAGTATTACCAACACTATCTGCCGAACATCTACGCCAGTTCGAATTTGAGGAAAAGCACATTTCTGGAGTGACCCGTGTTGACTTGTGGGTGTGCTGCTTCACTCCAGAGTCCAAGTGGTCCAGCATGGAATGGGGTGACAAGGGATCTCCACACAAAAAGAATTCAAGACAGCGGTTGGCTGGCAAGAACATGGCAGGTGTATTTTGGGATTCAGAAGGAGTGATCCATGGTTCTCTTCCACATGGTGGTACAGTGAATGCACAGTATTAGAGTAACTTGCTTTGCAATAATGTGCACCAAGTGATTTGCAAGAAAAGGCCCAGGAAACACAGAGGCTCATCCTAGTGCATAACTATGCCCATCCGCATTTGGCAAATTGGATGAAGGCCAGTGGGCCTTGAAATTTGAACAGCTCTGACTTAGTGGTTATTACTTGTTTGGATCAATGAAGTTGCACCCAGAAGGCAGAAAATTCTAAGTGATAATGAAGTCAGACACAGCATACTGATCTGGCTACACAGTCAGAATAAAGCCTCTTATGCAGCCGGTAACAATATAACTTCCCAGTTTGAAAAAAAAAAGACATGTTAGTCTAAAGGGAGAATATGCTGAAAATGAGTTCCACATTTCTGGATTTTTTTGTAAAAAAGCAAAGACCAGGTGAAACGTGAATCATGCTTGTAATACAGTATATTCCTGTTTCCTAGCAGGGTCTGCTGTTGAGGTAACCAGTGGCATCAGGCATACATATACACAACACAGGATGTACTGGTATTGTTTTATTGTTGAATACACTTGAAATTAACAGGAGGAACAAAGTGATACTTTTTTTTTATTGCTAGTGGGGTGGGTATACCTTACTCAGGTGTATCTCACATTCATCATGGAGACGTTAATTCAAGCATTTGTCTAGGTGTATTGTCATTGTGTAACCTACATAGCCCCATCAAGTGCCAATTTGGATTATATTGTTTGTTTCAGATGAGAGCTAACTCAGTTTTGCTGAACTGATCTATATGAACATCTATGTGCATATTTTTAAAGCCGATGGAATGTTCCAGTTCTCCATACACCACATCCTATTCCATGATGAACACTAACTAAACTTCACATATCCACGTTGAAGTAGTATCAGTACCCAGAAAGAAGATATGACTCACTGACACAAAAGATGTTTCATTCATGTCCTACTGCATAGCTTATTGTTTATGCAGTATGTTAGCATTCAACATATCTTTGGTGTGATAACATGAAATTGCGTAACTCATTACTAGACTTCTTGATATGTATAGAAGAATATGTCTTTTTTTTAGAAAAGGAAATGACATCTTTAATTAATAGTAATTTCCATGTGTATTCTAATATTTGGATGGGTTTAATTGATTGAATTTTATTGCCTGGAAAACAAAATTTATCCTTTTGGAAGAAAAGTAATGCTTGGTCAACATCTTTCATCTTGAAAATAAATGGCAGGCAGACAATCTGAGGGTCTGCGACTGGAACGCCTCAGGACATGTTCATAGTGAATGAAACTGATGCAGCATGTATGTATGCAGGCAATGGTGGCAAGAGCTAACCTCTCATCAAGTCCTGAACTGGGCCTTGCAGCAGCTATACTGGGGGACACAGATGTGGCCCAGTTTGGTCACCACGTGGCTCTGGGACTGCAGAGGAACTCCACTTCCTGGTTTCATCACAACTTGGCTTCCATATATTGGCGCATTAGAGGAGATGCACCAAATGCAGTAGAATGTGCACGCAAGGCTGTGCACTTTGCACCCAGGTGACTTGATTGATACTTATTCACTCAGTCAGTCAGTCAGTCAGTCAGTCAGTCTTTGGCTCTACAGTTCTCTAAGAACCTTGACACCGTTTGTGACATATATGCTCATTGTTCTCTATTATTTGCCTTTTATTTCTATCTCTTCATGTTCACCAAATGAATCATTTGCTGCATCTTCCAACCATCTCAGTCTTGGCCTTACCACTTCACTTCAACATTCTGGCTTGCTTCCAAATATTTCTCAGCCACTCTTGAATAGTGCTATATATATCTCTCTCTTTTCCTGTTGCTCCCACTTTGGAGCATAGGACGTTCGTGAAACACTTTGATTCACTTCAGTTTTCTTAATCCTAAGACAGTCTGTAGGACTCTTTGGATGGGAGATCAACCCATTGCAAGGCCACTACCTACACAGGACAGCACAAACACAAAATAAACACATCCATGCCTTGGGTGGGATTCACACCTATGATCCCAGTGTTTGAGTGAAGACAGTTTATGCCTTAGACCATGTAACCACTGTGCTCAGCTAATGCTGTGTAGTCCATTGAAGAAACTCATCTGACATTTTGGAGGAATATAATTACCTCCATCTTCAGGATAAAATAAGCTGAGCAAGACACCAGCAGTGGCAACTCTAACTGTTCTTATTTTATCTGGTGTAGCAGTTGCCCTTGAGACTGGTCCATGTTGAGGGTAGTCGCCCTTGACACTGGTCCACATTGAGGATATCACTTTCTAACAGTTTTTATATTTTGCATAACCACACATTAATGACCACTTTCTAACCACCCACATGTTATTCCATTTACAGGCAGTACAGAGACCTGGCTCTGCTCAATCTTGGCGCTATTTTTCACCAGTCTCGGTTCTCAGCTGAAGCAGCCATAATTCTTCACGCAGCTGTGGATCATGCTCCCCTGATGGCCCCTAATCACTTTTTGCTTGGTAATGTGTACGCAGTTCTTGGAGACTACAACAGGTAAGATAAATAGGTTAGAACCTGCCTTAGTTAGTTAGTTAGTTAGTTAGTTATTGGAGAGGGTGGGTTTCCCCATGCACTGAGACCAGTATTGGTCCATTGTGCTTCCCTGTATGATATTCTACCAGTCTCTATAACCTACCGATATTGGTGTGTACCATCAGTCCTGACCGAGCCAGTGAGTTTGGCCTCTACTGGCTTGGCGGTGTCTATAATGCTTCTCCCATCTATCAGAGGCGTTAGAGACTACTGTTGGGTGGGAAATGCCCTTGAATTTAGCTCAGTGACCTCCTTTGGAGATATGAGGTTCTTTTACGTGCCGTAAAGCTACGACACGGGACCCACGGCTTAAAGTCCCTCCAGGAGGACTTGTTCCCTGAATTTTTCCGCCCTTAAAAATTCCACGACCTCCGCCGGGTTTGAACCCACGTACCACGAGTCATGAGGTGGGAATGTTACCTCTAGACTACGGAGGCAGCAAAACCTGCCTTAAATGGACCCTTTATTAGACAGAATTTGTTGTGGTGTGCCATGAACAACCACAGGACAACATCAAAGAATCTTCTCCTCAAGAATGACAGGCCACACATGTTCGGACTCCATCAAGAGAAGTAACAAGAAAGAGGACATGAACCTGTTTGGTTTATAAATTCCAACTTAACTAACAAAAATAAAAAATTTTAATATATCAAGACAGCTGCTGTAGTTGTAAAAACTTTGGATTTTATATCCTTTTGTATATTATCAACATTGTATGTATATTTTAACCCTCAGAACATCTGTTGCAATAGTGGTTTCCAAACTGTATTGAAGTCCCTCTGATTATGGTCTCTAAGAACCAAAGCGAGCCTGCGCCACAGCTCAAGCGGTTAGTTGCTGGCTTCTCACCGCCGCAACCCAGGTTCGATCCCGGGTCTGGTCAAATGGGATTTGTGGTGGACAAAGTGGCGCTGGGGCAGATTTTCTCTGAGTACTTCGGTTTCCCCTGCCAATCTTCATTTCACCAATTGCTCCACAATCACCCTCACCGATCATCTGGGCCTGGTACAATAGGCCAGAAGTGGCCACACTACAAGGGACTTAGTCCCACCCCCACTAGTAATAAAAAAAAAAGGACCAAAGTGTGTAAGGGCATGAAGAATTGAAATAAGAAAAATCTTCACCAGTCACACTGGACAGAACTGTTTTACCATTTTATAATATGGTAGTGTGCTTATCTTTTATCATCATTTGCTTTAATCAAGAATGTTTGTTGCAATTGGTCCTGTGAGGGAAATGAACAACCAGCTTGTAATACCCAGATTATCAGGATTGCTACCAAACAGGATACTACTTTGTGTGGGTATACAGAGTGTGAACATTTGGTGGAGAGTCATGATTAAGCATCTGAAATTCTGCACAAGTTTATACAGTAGCATTGATGATTGTTGTGCTGTACAGGTCAGTGGCATGTTATGACAATGCAGTGAAGCTGAAGCCTGGTATGGATCAAGTAATCCGGACTAAACATTCTGTACTGTGCCACAGGAAATTGGAAAAAGGCCTTCTTGATCTTCATGAGTGAGTACTGACATTCACATCTCAAAAGTACACCCTTGGCATTCACACCATTGTCTCCAAACACAGGTAAGTATTTCAGGTGTTCCCAGATCACAAAAGTGGGTCCTTTCTCCATGACTAAGCAGTAGACATACAATATTATGTTTTATAGTGAGTATTATGTGGGAAATGTTCAGAACGTGTCACTTTCAGCACAACATGTTTTGCAGCCCTCTGCTGCCATCTGTCTCTTTTGTGTATTTGCTGGGCTGCTTGTCATGGAAATACTTGTAGTTTTTTTCCCAGGGTCATAAATGTCTGATAGGTTGGAGTGGTATCGACGCAGGGCTTCCAAAATTGACTGTTTTGGCAACAGGATTGGGCACTATGGGACCAGATACAGTTGATATAGTTTTATTTCAGAAATCCTTCAGTTGGACTGAATAATTTGCACATATTGAGCCCTTCTCCATACCCCCCCCCCAACACAAATTAATGGGTTTTAGTACTTGGATGCCCTTCACGTGCCTGTTTACCACAGCCGTCAGACCCAGCCTCTTTGTGTAACTGCCACCTCTCAGCTGCCTGCTCCATAGGCCACCCTCACTCTCCTTCCAAGAAATGCACATTCCTTTCCCTTAAGGAACACCACATCTGGGTCTATTGTTCCCTTCCTTGGACTCAGCACATACAGGTTGGATTCCCGCAGTCCGGTTACTTCCTGTGTCCAGCTGTTTATAGTTACTAGGGAGGATGATTCACTATTTGTCAGAGTCAGGAATGTCTTGAACAAACATTGTAGAGAAAGTGAATGAACTTTTTACACCCATCACACTTTTTCCTTGAATCTTACAGTTTTCAACATAAATCAAGAGATCTAATGAACCAGAACTGTTATGGTACCTGTAACTTTCCAGTAATATGTCCATTCAGTGGAATGTAGGGTGCATATATATTTTGACGTGTGTTATATGTGACTTCTTTATATAGAGGCTGCTATTCTTATTGTTTCTTGCCGAGGTTCATGTTTGTGCAGCATGTGTCTTTCATTTCAGGTCGCTGCAGTTCATTTTAGCTGAACTGCATGACTATCACACTAAACAAGAGCAGTGGTTGAAGCACCAGGAAAAACTGGTCTGGGAGCAAGCTCCCCTAGATGTTCGTTTGTTGGGACAAGATCATAGTTCCTTACTGAGTAATAGAGGTAAATAAGAGGTTAATTAATTGTTTAGGGCAGGCACACTGTCAAACTTCCTGCATTGCAAATACCATCTTTGCTTGCTTAATTCAAGCTGTCTGTAAATCATGCACGTTCATTTTCATTGTGGGGTGAAGAATAAATTCATGGATATTTCCCACATTTCATTTGATATATCGAAGATTGCATTGATAAAAATTCCATCATCAGAACTGCCAATTTGCTCTATTTGGTTGAACTATATGGGCATATGATTTGAGCATGGCTTGAAGCTGCCATGAGTGGAGTGGCCTGTGATTTCCCATTGCCCTGCCACATTCCACAGTGTCCACATCCTTCACGGCTTCAGTTTTAATCATCCAAAGAATTTGCCTACACATAACAGTTACACTTAACTCAGTATAGTGTCCTTACAGTCATTCCCCTGGTGCTGTGTTTACTTTTGTTTGTGTTTTGTGTTATACCATGAGCAGAAGTAACCTGTGGGTAAGCGGCCTCCGTAGTCTAGGGGTAACGTTCCCACCTCATGACTCAAGGTACGTGGGTTCAAACCCGGCAGAGGTCGTGGAATTTTTAAGGGCAGAAAAATTCAGGGAACAAGTCCTCTGGGAGGGACTTTAAGCCGTGGGTCCCGTGTCGTAGCTTTATGGCACGTAAAAGAACCTCATGTCTCCAAAGGAGGCCACTGAGCCAAATTAAGGACGTTTCCCGCCCAACAGTAGTCTCTAACGCCTCTGGTAGATGGGGGAAGCATCGAGACACCTCTGAGCCGGTAGAGGCCAACGTCTCTGGCTGAGTAGGGACTGATGGTAAGCACCAGTACCAGTAGGGTATAGAGGCTGGTAGAAGATTATAAGGGGACGCACACTAGATCAAACTGGTCGCGGTGCATGGGGAAACCCACCCCTCCAATAACAATAACAACAACAACCTGTGGGTATGTATTTCAGTTTTACAGCAGGTTCTGACCACTTAAATGCTAGGATTTAACTTCCCAGGTGCTTTTCAGAGCTAAATTACTTATGTCCTCTAAAGGCCATGATGTATTGCTTTGATTAAAATTTTATATTTTGGTTATTTTTTGTTCGGAATTTATAAAATTAAAGGCACATGAAAAAGCATCAGTCATTCTTCTCATACACTTTATCCCATGTTTGACACTAAAATTACTCTGTGTATGATTTAAGAAATAATTGCCTATTATTTGTTTTGGATACATATTAACGTCTTCTGAATTGGCATGCTCTTTTGAAATACAGGCAGAAACTATTACATAGCAGATTATAAAAGGAATCTAGTATGAGGTGTCACATGGTCTTTGCTTGAAGTCTGTACTGAGTGCTTTATATCACTGGCCTCTGCTTAGTCTCAGTTCCATATGACAGGGTTGATGGTCACGTGGAAGTTGCGTCAGTTACGGATAATAGAAAACTGATACTAGTATGATTATAGTGAAGGTTCCACAACCTTGAATATCACACTGAATGACTCAGTTGCTTTGAACAACTGCCAAATAGTTATTCATACACAGGTTAGGAATAGTCAGTTTAATACAGTCTCGGGTAGCTGTTCAGACTATATGATAGAAAGTATTTGCCTTCAGGAAACTGCCCTCCTGGAGTCATTCAGTGTTGTAAGCAATAACAATAAGCATTATTTACACTATGTACACTTCTTTGCTTTCTGTCTTTCCAAAACTTTTTCTGTGTTTGGTACTGCTTTAGGCAGGAAGCCACCCACATTCCAACATCACGTTCACTGCATATGTAACAGCTCTCTTTCATCTTCCTAGGGTTTATGGCAGGCGTTGTTGTTTTATTTTGGCAAGGAGGCCCAGGCACATAATCTGGAAGTGAGGGGCTGTTAGATGTTGAGGAATTTCCCCACTAGAACACTTTTTACCCTTAGATGAGATTCTTCTTTCTTTATGTTTCCTGAGAATCTTCCTGATGACACTTGTTTGAAAATGTGGAAGCAGACCAGTATGCACTGAGCAATAACAATTTTGCCACATGTATTTGTGACTATAAATGAGGTTTGATTGGTAATTTGACTCATTGAACACTTACAGATCATAAATACAGGCAACTGTAGTGCTATAGCTATCTAATTCACACACTGTACAATTCACTGCAGTGTGCACGAACTCTTGTTAGTCTGCTGTATCTTCATCAGTTGTCACCTGATAATGGCATCCAACACTGTAGCTTTCGCAGCTTCTGTATTCACATCGTTACTGGCCGGAAACTGTCTCACAACTCACTCTTGCTCCAAATAATGCCCAGGCTGGTGGTCATTTCACACCACCCTCCTACTATTCTGACTTCTGTCTGAAGACTGTCTTGTAATCGCAGCTGCTCCTTGTTATATAAGCCTTGGCACAAACTACGCAGAGAGCACTGCCCATCTGTTACTCCGTTGGTGTGTGTTATGAATCTGTTGTGGACAATACTTAGCAGTGGTCATTGTTTACAAAGCCATTACCTAGCAACAGCTGTTGTATAGCTTCTTATTTCATGGTTGATGCCTCCTTTCTTCTTTTCTGAGGGCTGCGCTTGTGAGGTCTGTGATTGGCCTCACCTTCCTTCCCTGTAGCTTGGTTCTCATGGCCATCACTCTCCAGCTGCTCCCACTGTTCCTTACTTAAGGCTTCTCATCCTGAATGGTTCCCTGATAAGGTGCGATCCAGTCCAGGTGTACCACCATCAACCTCAATCTAGAGTTCCACTGGATCCTGTATACCACATCATTTATCTGGGTGACTACCTTGTATGGGCCCTCCCATGAGGATTGGAGCTTGGGCGATTTCCTCATCATGTGAGCTGGGCAGTAGTGCCACACATTATCACCCTTGTGGTAGCCTGCGCAGTTGGCCAGTCTGTAGCAAGTTTTCATCCAATCACTGGCCAGCTTCAGGTGTTGGCAGGCATAATTGTGGATGTCATGTAGGTGGTCCATTAAATTTTCCACATGATCGACTGTGGGTTGTTCATTGTTGGGGTGATGCCCCAAACGCCAGGTTGCAGGCAGTCGGAGATCTCTTCCGAACACTGGACTAGCTGACTTTAAATCCACAGTGTTATGAGTGGATGCCCTATAAGCAAGGAGGAAGATGGGTAGTCTTGCATCCCAGTCCGTCTGGTGTGATGGGATGACTTTTCATATGTGTTCCTCGACTGTTTTGATGTAGCATTTAACCATACCACCTGACTGTGGGTGCAGGGGTATGGTGTGCATATTGCTCACTCCCAGGCATTGCAAAACTTTCTGTATCAGATGGGACTCAATGGCCCTGGTCACTATGTAGCTCCAGTGGTACTCCAAAGCAGCTGAAGAAGTTGGTAACAAGCACTTCAGCCACTGTCAAAGCCTCTTGATTGGCTATGGTATAGGCTTCTGGCCACTTGGTGAAATTAGAATTAGCAATTAGAAGGTATCAGTTTCCCAGGTCGCTTTGAGGGAAGGACTCTGCTACATTGATGGCTTTCCGTTTAGATGCGGCCGACATTGTACTGATGCATTTGGCCCTGATTCCTGGTTATTCAGTGTCTTTTTGACACCCGAGTGACCTCCTGATGGTCCACCATGTAGTTCAGTCAGTACATTGTTCACTCTGCTTCGAGGGAGAACTATCTGGGCTATTTTTGATCGTCTGTCGGTGGATTCCCAGTGGCACCCCTCACAGCAAGGGACTTCCATTGGCTGCAGTAGGTTTTGTACCTGGGGTAGCAGTTGCAGTGTCTTTCTGTTCTGGGTGGTCTGATCGCTACATTCTCCAGAATGGGCCCTATGTCCTGGTCATTCAGTTGTGCCCTTCTCAGAGCAGCTGCATCCCAGCTGGCTGTGGCTACAGTTGCAATAGCTCATACCTGCTTTATGTCTTTTAGGCCCTTTTGACACATGTTTGATGGTGTGTGAAATATCTCTCATGTATTCCCTATAGAGCATCACAAACTCATGGGGTTACATGTACCAACAGCATACAGTGTAGCCAGAATGAGATTTCAGAGAAGTTAAATATCAGTCTTGCACAGCATTAGTCCATAATTTTCATTTAACTGTGTACTGTACTGCAGGTCAGAGCTGTATGCAGCGGGTCCAGGATGGACGTCCAGTGTTGAGTTGTGATGTGAACAGCGACAGTCAGTTGCTAGCGCACAGTCTACAGATTGACATCACTCTTAGTCTCCAGATGCTTCTCAAGAATGTGGAATCCCAGGTCAGCTGGTATGAATAAGTTCTTAAGTGAAGAAAGCAGTCTTCTGGGATTTGGCACCGTGTATATGTGGTGTTAACCAACGTTTCAGAGGAACATATCACCTCCATCTTCCGGATAGAAGGAAAAATATAAGAAATCCACAAGCGAAGAGACCGTGAGAACCAGTAAAAGCAGACTATAGTTAGTTAGTTAGTTAGTTAGTTATTGGAGAGGGTGGGTTTCCCCATGCACCGCACCCAGTTTGATCTATTGTGCTTCCCTCTATGATATTCTACCAGTCTCTATACCTTACCGATATTGGTGAGTACCATCAGTCCTGACCGAGCCAGCGAGTTCGGCCTCTACTGGCTTGGTGGTATCTATAATGCTTCCCCCATCTATCAGAGGCATTAGAGACTACTGTTGGGCGGGAAACATCCTTGAATTTGGCTCAGTGACCTCCTTTGGAGATACGAGGTTCTTTTACGTGCCGTAAAGCTATGACATGGGACCCACAGCTTAAAGTCCCTCCCAGAGGACTTGTTCCCTGAATTTTTCTGCCCTTAAAAATTCCACGACCTCCGCCGGGTTTGAACCCATGTACCACGAGTCATGAGATGGGAACGTTACCTCTAGACTACGGAGGCCGCTAAGGATTTCTTATATTTTTCTTTCTACCCTGAAGATGGAGGCGATACGTTCCTCCGAAACGTCGGTTAACACCACATATACATGGTGCCAAATCCCAGGAGACTGCTTTCTTCATAGTCACTGCTGTGAAAGCCTCAAATCTTACAAAGTGCTTAAGTGTTCAGTTTGTCAGATATCCCCTTGAAATTTGGAGGACATTGCTTTTCTTATTGTCATTGTTATGAAATACCGTTTCCAATTGGATCCTAGTGCTAATTAGTTTTAGAACGGAATAGTGCCAGAACCAACTTAATTTGCAGTGTTTGTTCCTTCATCTTGGATGAATGTAAGGAAACGGGGCTCAAATCTGCTGCCATTCAGGAAGCTCAGGTTGGCCAGTGTCTAGCAGGCTTCATGCTTGTTAGCGTCTTTGTTAAAGTACCTGTGGTGCATGGGGAACCCTTCCATAGCCTTGCGAGGAATGCGCTTTCACAAATTAAAATCAATTTTGGTTGTTTTTCATAAACAGAGATGTGGACTGAAGAGTGCTGTCTTCAGGGATATAATGCCATTTAGTCTGGTGAAAGGCAGCCAGCATTTTGAAGACACATTCCCACCATTTGCAGGGTGAAAGAATAAGTCAAGCAAGCAGAGCTCTGTTTGCTGCCTGCTTCATGCTGATTTCTCATGTGATTTACTTTTTGACCCCGACGATCGAGGTGAGATATTCCTTTGAAACTCTGGTTAATTTTTCACTGGACTGCATGGTATTATGTCCATGAAGATGGAGGTCTTCAGAGCCACCATTGTGAGAACCTTGAATCCAACAGAGAAGCGGATTGGTGTCATTTTTGTATCGTCGTTTGGTGTGTCCAACCTGCACACACATGGAGCACATGTGAGTGCATGCACATACTGTTCTGTTCTGATTTCTTTTGCTCATGTGACCACATTTAGCTGAAAGACTTTGCAAAATGATTCCCTCTACACACTTTACTTGCATTACTGTAGGCGATAAAGCCATGTTTATAAGTAGGAGCTTTGTTAAAAGTGAAATTTATAGTTCTTTCACAAGCACTAATTGAACATACATAGCACATGTAACTAGAAGCAGAACAGCAATTAGTCACTTGGGATGAACCTGAAGGAAATTTTTATACAGGTTTAAAGAAATCTTCTGCCATGAAACCTGCATGAGCATAAATATGGCACCTCTGAACACATTACAGGTTGCAATCATTGGACAGACTTCATCTCTTGTATTGCCAATTTCTCAGTGATGTGCATGTTTTCATATTGTCATGTGTATGAGTGACTGTAGGAGAGGTTTGGATTGGTAATTGGACATTTACAGAACATAACTATAAATAACTGCGACAGTCTCATTGAGTTACAGACTCCAAAGATCACTATAACACACAGTGTCATCTGAGTTTGCTTTGTCTTCACCAGTAGTTACCTGGTGATGGATCCCAACAATGCCCTCACATTCTTACCAGCTGTCAACTGTCTCGCAGGTACCTCCTACTCTTCTAATTGCTGTCTCAGGACTCTCTTCTAATAGCAGCTGGCCCTTGTTATGTATCCTCAGCACGAACTGCACAGAGAACATGGCTTCCAACAGCTCTTCTATTGTTGTTTGCACATGTATTGTGACCATTACATAGCAGCGGCTGTTGTTTATGGAGCCATTACTTAGCAGCAGCTGTTGTATAGCTGCTTATTTTGCAGTGATTTCCTAGCAGTGGGTCTACATACCACAATATGTTAATAAATGAAAACAGGAACTGTGAGATTTGAGATTCTTACAGTTGTCAGTGTTAAGGTCCTTCTTAAAGTCTTCTTTTATGTGATACTATATAGTTTGGTAGATGGATACCAGTATTTTTGAGGAAATTGCTGCCTCTATCTTCATGCAAACTCTTTCTTCACTTCTACCTTGAAGATGGAAGTATCGAAGTCCTCCAAAGTACTGGTGTGCATGTACCATGCTACACAGCATCATATCCCAGAAGACTGTAATCCTGTAGCAATTCAGCAGGCATTGAAAGTCTTCGTCATGAAACAGAATTTTAAATTTGTTATCATCCTGTTCCTATTTGATGCTGCGATGTACTGTTGTAATTGTTAGAAATGAGATTTCCAAGGTAAGCCTGAAAATTTATGCTTTGTTTCTATCAACAAATTTTTTTTGTATGGAGCTATAAGATAATCTGAATGTACTGTGGATACAGGCAAAGAAGATCAGTGAACAGATGTCGCGACGAGGTCCTTTGTCTCCTGAGCTGATGACACGAGATCAGAATGGGGCTCAGATACTGCAAGCTGAAGGTCAGGAAGTGCTGTCAGGCAGCAGCATCAAGTATCACAGTCCCACAGTTGCACCTGTGTTTCCTGCAGAAGCCATTGAAAAAACAGAGGATCCTACCCAAGCATATGAACAGGAAGACTGGCCCCGCCAGGAGGAATGCATGGCACTGACTTCATCAGACTACTTCCCCCCTGTGTTCCTGCCTCCAGAGAATAAGGGATTTGAGTGAGTTCAGTTTATTATGCCTTACGGTTTATTCACCAGAACAGGTTTATTTGCCACCTTTTGTTAAAAGGTTGTGTAAGTATTTGTATGAATTACACATGAACTTCTCTTTATGCGTTAATAAATACCAATACAGATGTTAGACGTTACAGTTACTATGCCATGAGCTGGAAGGTTTCAGGTTTGATTCCCGATGAGACCAATGGATTTTTCAGTTGACGTAATCCTTCCAGCTGGACTATGGCCCTTGGGTCGACTTAACCTCTAAGAGAAATTAATACCAGGAATCTTCCTGGGGGTAAAGGGTGGCTGGTGCGTAAGGCTGACAGTCTCACATGTGTGAGTCAGATGTTTAGAAAATGTGGGAGCCTTGATGTCTCACAACTCTATGGGCATTCATGGCCTGTTACATTGATAGCTTTACCTTTACTCTAGGCCTTTATGATATATTCTAGCAGAAATTTTGGTTCAATATAAATCACTGTGATCTTAGTCTTTTGGGTCATGACAGCATGTGGTTTGGTAGCTGCTTACCAGTGTTTCAGAGCAACATGCTGAAGTGAAGACGACTGGTTCCTCTGAACCGTAGGTAACCCCCTGTCAGGCTTCATACTGCGATGACCCATGTAACCAGTCTTCATATTCACTGCCATGAAAACTTGAAAGTTCATTAATATAGCTCACAGAGCCATTGACTTCCTTGTGTGCGCACATGTAGGGGTCCATTCTGTCCTTTTTTATCGCTTTCTCTGTGTGTTCTAAAAAATGTACCATTTTCTGTTTCATTATTTATGGACATCATGGTTACATTGCAGTGAGCTTTGGTTGGTGTAAGAACTGTACAGAGAGTCACAGTATTGTTATGCAGTTTGTCAGTGGCTGACTAACAGTGTCATTGTTGGTTTATTTTGTAGAGTGCACTTATATCTGGGCCAACTGATAGACTTAGCTCCTGGCACAGAGCATCCTCTGCCATGGTACCCACCTCTTTGTGATGTTGCCAGCACTGATGCTGATCCAGAGCTGGATGCTTACTTCCCGTCCTCGCTAACGAAAGATGGTCTCCTGGATGTTCCCGTCCGGGAGGCCAGTCTCAGGCGGCATCTCACTAAATATGTTAGTGAGGGACATAACATGGTGGAAGCAGAGATTGGGCAACGGATTCTCACGGCCATCAATAAGGTAATCGTATGTCAGGAAGCATTGCCACTACTTCCTTATTTTCGTTGGCAGCTACTCCATACACACATGATCTTGTTACAGGGTGTTGGTCCAGGCTGGCTTCTGCAGACCATAGCCTCTCTGTATTGGCGTATACGTGGAAATTCCCGTAATGCAATGAACTGTCTCCGTATGGCTCTCACATCAGCTCCAAGAGAGTTTCATGATGTGGTGTTGGTATCTTTGGGCTCTTTGCTTCATAAGCTGGGATATCTGGATGAAGCACTTCGAGCTGCATCAGATGCACTAGCTATAAATACTGTAGAGGTGGGCAGAAAACATAATTTGTAACACACTGTATATATTTTCACATATGGAGTCACTATAGAAGGGGTTTGGATTGGTAATCAGATTTATTGAACACTTACAGAATGTAACTGGGGCACGCGGTAGCGTAGTTGGTTGAGGCACTATGCTACAAGCTGGAAGGTCGCGGGTTCAAGTCCTTATGAGGTCATTGGATTTTTTCAGTTGACCTGATCCTTCCAGCCGCCCTATGGCCCTGGGGTCAACTCAGCCTCTAACAGAAATAAGTACCAGGAATTAATTAAACAATTTTCCTCGGGAGTAAATTGCAGCCAGCGCGTAAGGCTGACAACCTTACAGCCATCTTTGAGCCGATTGTCTAGATAATGTGGGACCCTCAGTGTCTCGTAACCATATGGGCCTTCACGGCCTGTTACAGGGATAGCTTTACTTTTTTCTACAGAATGTAACTGCAAATAACCATGACAGTCTTGTTGAATTAGACACTCCAAAGATAACTAACTACAGCACATATAAAGTCTTCTCAGTCTTCACTAGCCATTGCTTGGTAGTGGCTTCCAATGGTGGATATTTTCCTTGCTCCAGGTTCCCAAACTGTCCTTGGCCTCAGCTGCCAGCTTCTCACTTCTCACAACAGTAACTCTGAACTGACTCAACCAACTCAACCTCCTACTCTTTTAACTACTGTCTCATAGACTTTCTCATAATGGCAGCTGGTCCTCGGCACAGACTGCACACAAAATGTCTCTTCCATTATTGTGCGTTCTCTCGTTGCCAGGGAAGCATGTCCACAGAGCTGTTCCCTAGCAACAGCTGTTGTACTGTCGCCTGTTTCCACAGCTGTTACTTGGCAATGGGTCTGCATGTCACAATATATAGAAATGTTCTTTAATGTCAGTTTCCTCTAACATAACTAATAGACAGCACTAAAGATACTATGAAATATCCTCCATGCTTAGGAAGTGTGCTGAAACAGTGCATAGACATTGTGGTACTGTTATTGGATACAGTTCAAATTCTCATTTCCCATCATCTTGTTTCAGCTGCACGAGTCAAATTTAATTTCTTAATTTGAATGTTATATCTCCTTTAAAGTGTTACCTACTCCATGTTTTATATGGACAGACAGGAGCCACATCCTGGGTTAAGGATATGTTTGTATATAAATGTAAACTCATTTGTAGGTGCAACTGTCAGCTGTAAGTGGGGACGGGACAAGAATTTTTGCAGCTCATAGTAAGGTGTTAGAACAAATTAAAAACTGATGTATGGAATTGGTAGATGCAGTTTGGAAGCTAAGTAGCACAGTCAGCATAGTGACTAGGCCATGGACTGGACAGCCAGAAAATCAAGGTTTGTTTTATAAAGGGGACAAATATTTTCTCTTCACCATAGCATTGAGACTGATTCTCTCCCATCCAGTGATGCAGTAGAACATGTTTCAGTTGGATTGACCATCTTCAGAAGGACACAATCAACATTTAGGAAACCACTGTTACCATGTATTATACCTTGTAACTACATATTACATGTTAAATAAAATAAAATACTGAAATACAACTTTCATTAATCAATCACACTGGATGGTGTTGAAAGTCATTTTAAACTCCAGATTGTGTGAACTAGCAATAGTGCTGTAGTTACATCGAGCTAGGCCGCGCCATAGCTCAAGCGGTTAGTAGCTGCCTTCCCACCACGGCGGCCCAGGTTCAATCCCGGGTCTGGTCAAGTGCGATTTGTGGTGGACAAAGTGGTCCAGGGGCAGTTTTTCTCCGAGTACTTTGGTTTCCCTTGCCAATCATCATTCCACCAATTGCTCCACAATCACCCTCAGCTATCATCTGGAGCTGGTACAATAGGCCAGAAGTGGCCGCAGTACAAGGGACTTAGTCCCACCCCACTAGGAATAAAACATACTTCTAGCTAATGATCTGTAAGTGTTCAATAAATCCAATTACTAAACCGAAGCCTGTCTATAGTGACTCCTACATGTGACAATATGTTCCTTGGTGTACTACATGACATTAAAGGTACATGTTACTGGTCCCTTTGTTTGCTTTCTTCCTTCATGCTTTGTGGAAGCTATGATTAATACTGTTCATCAGTATAAATCCTTGGCAATACATGTACTCTTACTATAAATTTAGATATCAGTCTTCCTGGATTATGTTCTTGTACCCTGAAGAGACAGGCTTCTCTAGGTAATCTATATGGCTACACAGTATAACTCATAAACACAATCTTAAATCTTCACTGCTGTGAAATCCTGACATTTTATACTATAAATTCATCATATTTTACTTAATATCCGAAGACATTGCATCTTTTCCTATTTCCTTCAAATTCAAAATCTCATAAAACAAGGATTTAGTATAGTTCCAGTGTCCTTAAAGTTAATGTTACAGAGTTTCTGCTGAGGTGTGTGGTTTTGTGAACTGTTGACAGCCAGCAACACATTTCTTACTGGCATCTGTGCTGGATGGTAAGGGTAACCATACTGGAGCCATACATCACCTCAAACAGGTCTTGACTGTGAATCCAAACTTTCTGGAGGGTGGTGACGTAGAGAAATATCTGGTGGCGGTTTCATGTCGTGAAAAGTTCAGTGCTAGTGGATACACCACAGCTTCAGGACAAGACAGCCCTGAGGTGGGTGCTTTCACTGCATGGTTTGTGTGTGTGTATATATACGTATGTATATATATATAGACAGAGAGAGAGAGAGCAACATCTTTCATATAGCAACTATGGAAATTTGTCTTGAGATTACATACAGTGTTTTGAATAGTTATACCATATAATTTGATCCAGTGGAGTCTCTGTAGCCTTTGGCTCTGTTTTTAGGGTAGAAAAGATCAGGTTCATCCAAAACATTGGTGCCTGTATACCAGTTTAGAAGGCATCACATAATCACTGTAATCTTAATATCTACCACCATGAGAACTTAAATATCTTAATAATAACAACAATAATAATAAAATAAAATAAAATGAAGATATTCTCCCCTGGTGCCCTCTACTGAAGTGCAGTGTGGTGCTACCACAATTGCCTCATTTATACCGCAGAAATGTATGGTTTTCTGGTGACAGATTCATTTTTATATGAATGCTTAAGACATATGTGAAGGAATGGAATATGAGGTTCCTACAAGCACATACACTTTATGCCCTTTGCCATGCCATGCTGGACCCAGGCAGAATAAATTTCAGGAATGCTCGCAGCTGCCCAGTTTCCAACCTGCTGTCTCATCTAAAAACTTAAAGACCAAAGTATTTTAATCTTTGTACACAGAACTCTTTTAATTTTACCTACTGTTTTGTGGGCCTGTTTTATTAATGGAAACACTTAGACTGAAGGTGCTAGAGAACAGAGTGCTGAGGAGAATATTTGGACCAAAAAGGGAGTCTGGAGAATAGCATAATGAGGGGCTTTGTAATTGTTACTTGCCCAATATTCTTTGGAGATAAAATTACATACCACAAGTTAGGCTGGTCCTGTAGCATGTGTGCAACAGTTGTGAAATGCACACAGAATTTTGATCAGAAAACACAGGGAAAAACAGCTTGGAAGAGCTAAGCATAGATATGATAATATTAAAATTAAAGTTACAGGATATGGTAGAAAGGTGTGGACTGGGTTAATTTGGTTTGGGATGGGGACCAGGGTTAATTTGAAGAAAGCAGTCTTCTGGGATGTGGCGCTGTGTAGATGTGGTGTTAACCGACGTTTCAGAGGAATGTATCGCCACCATCTTCAGGGTAGAAGGAAAAATAAGATCCGCAAGTGAAGATTTTTTTTTTTCCTTCTACCCTGAAGATGGAGGAGATACATTGCTCCAAAATGTCAGTTAACACCACATCCCAGAAGACTGCTTTCTTCATAGTCACTGCCATGGAAACCTCAAATCTTACACAGGGTTAATTAGGTTTAGGGTGGGGCCCAGTGGCAGGGCCATGTTAATGAAGCTTCAGATTCCTTAAATTTAGGGAATTTGTTTGCTAACCAAGTGATTGTTAGTTTCTGAAGAATGATTGTGCTTCAGGAGTTACTTTTTGGCTTCTTTGTGTCATGATGTCAGAAAAATTGATTTGAATTCCCTTTCTAACACTGTGTTTTAATGCACTGACACAGGGGGCACTGTGTCGTGCTATAGTGGGCATGGTAAAGCATCACATTTATGCTTTTAACACTGATGTGTTATGTTTCTAGGAAATGTGTGGGGCTACGAGTGGAGTGCAAGGAGGCAGGCATATTGCTGTGGAAGGACTCAAGGAGGGAGAGACAGTCCTTTGCAGTCCAAATGGGGAGCAGTGTCATGCTGTTCAGTGCTTTTCAACCACCCATGACAGTGGTAGGAATTATATCATCTTCTATAGAAAACACGAATTTAATGTATCTTACTCTTTTTTTTTAGTCTGTGATACACAGTTCTGTGCCCTATTTCATATGGTCAGCTGAAACTGAAGCCCTCCAAAATGTGGGAACTTGACTCCATTTTCATGAAGCAAGAATTTGTCCCTTGGCTTGAGTGAACTGTAACTTTATAACCTTAAACTTCTCAGCCATTTGAGGCAGTATTCTGTGTTCTGAAACTTTTCCCATCATCAGGTGTTTGATGAGTGATGTGACTATCTGCTTTCACCGTGCAAATGCTGTGCTCTTGGAGCCTGTTGGTCATACACAGTCCATCTCTCTTAATGTGGACAATCCAGTCTTATATAACCCACCTCAATGGGTGAGATGCTGATTTATTTTTGTAACGATGTGCTGTCTTAAGGAGCTTTCATTGTATATGTACATTCTTGATTTCTACAGGTGGAATTGTGACCCTTGAGCCAGCTGCAGTGTCTCGACTCTTGGGTCTCGGCTTGGGAGGTCAGTGTGGAGAGGGTCATGGCCTGCTTACTGATGTGCTTGCTGTGGAGGTAGACAGCAGAGCAACTGAACAAGTGGATGAAACAGAACTTGAACGCATGACTGATGATAGGGCTGTTCCCAATATGAGTCCTCGCAGTTATCCAAGTTTTAAAACCTAAAGACAGACACATAAAGTTGTAATACATTCCCTGAAAAGAGATTATTTATGACTTTAATAAGTTGGTATCAGTGCTGTTAGGAAAAGTAAACTGTTATTGGACAGACATGTGTTTAAATTGGTGCTTTTAAGCTCTTCCATATCCAGATCATTCCATATACGTTACATATGTGTATGTCACATATTGAACATTATGTATGATGTTCAAAGTAGATTCGTTGTCATGTGGGTTATCTGTTGGGGCTAGAGGTCACATGTTGTTATGTCATAACCAAAGTTGCTGTTTTGGAGTCAGCTTGTAGATTTCAACTTTGCAGTGTCAGTTTATACATTCTTAAATGTGTGTTGCTGTTCATTCATACACAGACAGCTAACACGGTGGAGAGCATTATCCCTTTTGGCAGTGTACAGTTTCTTTATGCAGTTGCCAGAAGATTATGACATATACACAGTAACTGTATGTTCTGTTGTTATGAGCAAGAAAATTAAATGAAAAATAAATAAGGAAACCATTTGCACTTGGTAGGCAACTGGAGGAAGTAATACAAAAGGGAACTTCTGACAGTATTAGTAGGCTAGTTTACATAATAATGGATTGTCCAATAGTTTTAAAAGTCCATAGTGTTATCAGCCAATGTAATTTCATCTAAAATTGATGGCTTCTGTACTCACAAGATCATAATCCAATAACGGACTCTTAACCTTTGAATAAGATGAAAGTTTTATGTTCTATTAATCTTTGATTTTTAGCATCCTGTTATGTTCTACACATATAATTCTTATAATGCCATCAATACAACTACCTAATGTTACTCATAATAGTGTTCTGTGATTATCCACTGCATGTTTTGAGCCTTTTTGTGGGTCGTCATCAGGTGGTATGGACGCTTAAATATCAATTACAGTAAACCCTTGCTAATCCATATTAGCTGGGGGGAGAGGTCATTCGGATTAGTGAAGCAAAAGATAGCCCTAAAAGAAAAGAAAAATACTTTGAAAACAAATAAATGGAAAATTTAATAATATAGGTAGTAGATTCTAAAGGGTTCTGACGATGGTGGATGACACGCAGAATTAGTGGGGTTTTGGATTTTCTTCCATTGTCTGGAATTCTAGACAACAGAGGACACGACATTTCAGAAAGTGGATCGGTTTCCGTCTTCAGGTGAGAAAGGAAAACACCTACTCAGTTGGGCCCCTTAGAAAGAGCTAATCTCAATCACTGGACTATAGGTAGTGCTGAGGAAAATAATAAAAAGAATATTACTGTGAGAAATGTGCTCGCTCCGCGCTGTTGCAGGTTTCTTCAATGATTGAATGCACTGTGTAAGGACACTAGCTGAGTTGAGTGTTTAGCCGGCATTCATAGCTGGTGGCTAGCCAAAGATTATGAGCCCGCCAACTATCTGGTTCTATATCTTCAGCTTTCAAAGGTTTATGTCAATCTTCCATACCTGGTAAAATACTTTACTGCACCTTACATCATGATACCAGACCATCACAAATATATTGTAGTTTGAAATTTCCAATGGGTTTTAACGTTTACCAAAACAGATTTCTGTGTCAGATATGCCTTCAAGTGCTACAATGCTAAAAGATGAGTGCACAATATTATGAGACAGGCATATGCAACAATGGCAACACCTAGCTTCTGAGTTGGTGTGTTCTAATTCTAGTCTTTTCATATGGTGTTTGGTGAGACATAATAAGTGTGGAATAGCTGAATACTGGGAGCTCATTAGTTCGTTCCTTTTGCTTTTTTAGGCCTCATATATTCTGGTGGAATACTTACCCAGGTAGTTTTGTCATAACTGGTTTACTGAGAGCAGTACATCTTCATGTCATTATTAGATCACTCTCTTTGACATACCTGTTGATCATAAAAAATTATCTTTCCTTGTTACTGGGTGTTTTCTCAATCTGCAAGATGTCCAGGCTTCGGTTCCTTTTTTCTCTAATTCGTCACTTTTCCTGTCTAACCTGTTCTCAATTGTGTTGTGTTGAGGTTATTTAATAGCTCATAGCGGTTTGCAATGGTAGGTATTGGAGGAGCATAGTTTACTTCTGGCGTACTGTCTCTCTTCCGACGCGTTGAGGGCTCATGAACCCACTTCCCTCTTCTTTGTTCCAAATTGTGAAAAATTCTCGTTGTGATGCACGTAGGATGCGTCTGTACTTACGGTTCGATTGGCCGTTATTATCTTTTCTTGTAGCAGTTCAATAATTTTTCGTGCTGATCTGAGTTCTGTTATGGTCTTTTGTAGTTCTATTTTAAATTTATTACAACAAGTACACGTTACTTCACTTCCTTTACTACTATTGATGAAAATTGAGTGTCTTCAACAACATTTACATGAAACCACACGAACCACCATGTTGGGCAATGCGAGAGTTCACAAGGGAAGCTGGCAACCGCAACGCAACCGAAATTTCGAACACAGCCTGAGTTGAAAACGTGTTACTGAATGGAGCAGCTCAAACTGAGGAAACGGCAACGTAACTGGCATGCACAGTTGTATGGAGATCGAGTTTCTCAGTCATTCCACGAGTCGTGTTGCCGTTTCCTCAATTTGCGCTGCTATTGGCTGAAAACAATTGTCGGAAATCGTGGTTGCGCTGCGGTTGCCAGTTTCCATGGTGTGCCCTCGGCCTAATTGTCAACATATTCAATCTCTACCCCTGCCATCTAGTGAGCTGCTTGTAAATATCTTTTGGTTTAGCCGGTAGGCGTGTTATCTATGGTCGCTATTGGCTGCGTTGGTTTGGTGGGTTGCGGATGCTAAAAGCGAATCTGCAGCAGCATGCAATCATTGGTTTTAGTCGAAGGCAATTTAGCTTTGTGGTTGGCGTAGTAAAATTTACACTGTATACATTTGTAGGTAAGAATTTGCGGCCGAACTCTACAGTAAGAAGCAATATGCACAGTCAGTTGATATAGTATTTTTAGGCATGAACTGTCGGGTGTTGTAGGTATTACGATGAAATAGAACCGAACCCGTTCTGGTCATGGGCAGACCGAGTGAAAATGATTTCATGTTGTTTTTGTAGTGCTGAGGTGTTAAAAGTTAAGAATTATGTTTTTTTTTTTTTTAAATTTATTGTGCAGATGTTACTTTGGAAAGCAATGCGTAATGGAAAGAATATTTGTTCTTGCAGCGGTGGTTAAAATGATCGTGTGAATGAATGGATTGAATGAATCATTTGTAGCATAAAATTTGTGTTCTCGGACGTCATATTTAAAGTTTGAGCAGCATTAGAGTGCAGATTGATTAAAGACGTAGCAAATTTAGACACAGAACATCAATACTTCGCCTCCAAGGTTCTGTCATAGGTCGATCCATGTTCTTATTGGTCGCCTACTGGTGACGTCATATAGAGACCAGAAGGTGGCGGCATTGCAAAGTAGAATGCACGTCAGAACGTACACTTTTAGGGCGTGTTGTGCGTGTCTAAATTGTAACATAAGTTGTTCCTCCCATATCCTGCGATTTTACTTGTGAATAGCAAGAGCCCGGTGAAATGAAAGTTTGAATTATTCAGCTGGCTTCTCATGTCAGATGAGGAAATATAAAAGCAAATGATATTCTTTTACTTAATTACTGTTATGAGGGTATGCATCATCCAGTTGTGATCAAAGTTATCCAAGGCAACTGCATTTCCAGTCTTTTCTTGTGTGTGTTTGTAGTTGATGTATTGATGTTGATATTGATATTACTACTTCCACCACTTTGGTTTCCGTTTCCTCATGAAAACAATGAAGCATGTATGAAGCATCTGTAATAGACTGCTTACCTAAAAGAAAGGGTTAAGGCAATTTTTAAGTGATGGTATACTTTCATAGACCCAGCAGGACTGATCAGAATTGTTCCAAGGAACCATTTTCCTGTGACATCCACTGATCAGGAATGTTAGTATACTGTGTGTAGTATGTCTGTCACATGTGCATGATGTCACCACATATGTAGCATACTTGGTGGTGCTAGAGATAGAGATGTGATAACTGGATGATACCATCTTCCTGGGGTAACATGGTGCCTCCCTCTTGTTAGTCAACCGTGAAGATGGATGCAGGATGTTTCTCTGAAACATTGTAATTTGCGTACAAGATTACATCTTGTTGCAATTCACAAAACCAAAGTCTGAACATTAACTGCCCAAAACCAGGAAACAGTAAGGGATAATGTTTATTTTATTTTTTCCAGATCCTTGTTGAATGTCAGCAAATCTTGGGGGAAGACATTTGAAGTGGCATTAAGAGCATTGATGCTTCCCTGTTTGAGCTAAAGGAGGTACTGCACACCCATGAAACAGAGCTGATGTAGTATGATGAAGTTACACATTGCTTTCCAGCCAAAAGTCATTGTTTTGGTCTGATGTTCAGATAAATGGGTAAGCAGTAATGTTACAAAGTTCAGTTGATGCTGTTATTTATGTCCGTATAAGTGATATTTTGAACCCATTTTCAGTCCCATTTCTATTCTGGATCTCCATGTATTCTGATTCAGATACATTTTGTTGATATGGTAGTTAAAGTAACATGTCTGAAACTTAAGCTACTATTAACAGATATACTTCTGGTGTCTTGAAGAATGTGGTATATGAAGAAGTATTTAAAACAATTATAATTTGCAACATACGGCATTTCTTGAATGTCATGCCATAGCGCAAGGCGGTTACCAACAAAGTGACGTTGGTGCAAGTTTTTCTCCAAATTTTCTTGGTTTCCTCATGTTAATCTGTACACTATCATTCCATTTTCATCTACCACCACTCCGTGAGGTGTATGGTAGAGCCCGCACCAGGTAGTGCAACTGTCAGATGGTTAATCATTAAGTCTAAGACTTCATTTCTGATGAAGTAGTTGGCTGGTTACAGAGCAAGGACGTTTTCACTGGTGTAACATAAAGTAGCCTTACATAAATCTGACCCTTTTTCTCCTTCAGCCTGCAACATTCTTGTGATAGCAGTTTGGTGGCAAATGCTGGACTATTGTTAAATTGATGTGGGAAAATGTAACAAATGACATCATCAAGGTTATTAGGCAGAGCTGGAGTACAGTCATACATACTTGTGTCAGGCTTTATAAAGTCTTATAAGTGACGAGAAATTCTCTTGTTGAATCCCATAACATTCATCAGCTGATAAATTCCATCCTGGTACAAATCGTACCTGCATCTTGGTTTTCCTTCTGTGTGTTTTCTGATCCTCAGTCATTTGGCCAGGAGTTGTGCTTTTCAGGTGCTGCATTCAAACAGATTTGTGAAAACTGATGGCATTGGAAAATTTCTTGAAAGAAAGGAATGTTGCATGCAAAATCATGTAACTAGTATTCTTTTATGTCGGGCACATGAGTTATTCCTTTCTCGGTAATTACTCGGAACAATATCGACATCTCCTGCTCTGCACCATCTGTCCACTCATGCCAAATTGGGTACTTAGACACTGTCTTACCATTAATTTGTGTTTGTTGTATGTATATGTGTTTCATCAGTGATTATCTTTGTTGAAAACACACACAAGTGGAGTGAGGGTGACAGTTTATGGGAACTTGGAGGCCTTCAGCATCTTACCCCCACAGAATAGGTAACCTAAGAGGGACATTTGCATGTGTCCTTGTTTGTGTACCAACACCCTGCCCATTTGTCTCTGATGGCTAGCCCTATCATTGTCAGAAATGCTTGTAGTGTCACTTAAATTGTCTCCACCGCGACGTGTCCCACTAGAATTATCACAGGTTTTGGTGTCGCCTAGAGTTCTAGTCACAGGTTTTGATACTTAAACACATGAGTACCATTTAGAGAATTGTCTGGCACTGCATTAAGGTGGTTTAGCAACACTGGATGCACGTGTCGTTTGGTAAATTATCATTGTCATCATCTTCACTTTTACTTCAGAACTGATAACATTCATCATCTGAATCATCCAAATAAATAATCAGTCATCACTGCTTTGAATTTCATTAACTTCCCTAATGAAATCCTGATGTTTCAATTCTGTGGCACAACATTAGATCACAAGCATGGACTCATATCACTAAGTTGCATTGTTAGTACTCAGTAATTTCTATTTCAACACTGTTTCATCATACACAAGTATGGCTCCCATTGGCAGATGCAAGTTCCTCAATCTCCGATACATTCATATGAATCCCGCAACATGGTAGACGTCTTTACATCATAGTGAGTATTAAGTACCTTGACTTTAGACTCAGTTAAGGTCTCCTGGACATGGGACTGGAAATGGTTCAACATAATGATCATTTGTTTCACCTTAGTATTGGGTTTTTGAGTGAATAAGAAGTGTGTCTCGTGACCTGTTAGTTGCTGTTATAAAGTTGAAAATATGTTTATTTTTCAGTTTCATATATGTCAGTAGCATGTTCTTGTATGCATTTCCTGGCATTACTCCATGCATACGAACAACTGTAGCATCACCATGTGTGAAGTGTGCTGTATTAAATTCATTATTCATGCATGAGAGTTTTTGATAGGTTGTATATAGGTTTGCTGGTACAGTAGATAAATTTCTGAAACAAAATTCTTTAGTCTGTGACTTTTTTTTTACATCTGTATGTCAGTATACAGAACTGCGTGATGAGGAGCTTCATAACTTGTACTCTTCTCCAAGTATAATTAGAATGATCAAGCCAAGGAGGATGAGATAGGCAGGGCATGTAGCACGAATGGGGGAGAGAAGGAATGCATAATGGATATTGGTGGGAAAGCCGGAAGGAAGGAGACCACTGGGAAGACCAAGACGTAGGTGGGCAGACAGTATGAAAATGGATCGTAGAGAGATAGGATGGGATGTTATGAATTGAATTGACTTAGCTCAGGATACCAGAAGTGGCCGCAGTACAAGGGACTTAGTCCCACCCCACTAGCAATAAAAGAAGAAGTAATAGCTCAGGATAGGGACCAGTGGAGGGCTCTTGTGAACACGGTAGTGAACCTTTGGGTTCTATAAAATGCCCAGAAGTTCTTGAGTAGCTGCACAGTTGGCAGCTTCTCAAGGGCTCAGCTTCATGAGTGAGTGGTGTCAGCAGACATTAACAGCTACAGCATAACAGGTTTTTCTTTTTTGTCCACAACCTTTATGTGTATGTGTAGTAAAGGAAATGTTACTTCACTATTAGGCTTGTGCCTTGCCATAGTGTTGCAAATCATATCTCTTTACTTGTGAAGCAGGGCTTGTGCACAGTATACTCTTTATGACTCAGTATTGCAAATATGACTGATGTGAGATACAGTTGCACATGTGAGTCGTTCATGCTTGATCAGTGATGCTACGTGTCATTCCACAGACTTCATATTTTCCCACAGGTGGCTGACTGGAAAATCAAGAGTGGTCACATCTGTTATTGTGCACCCTGTACCTGTACCCTGTACCTCCCAGTCCCACAAAATGTGTGGCCAAATGCCATTCAATTTCACACCAGTTATGCTTCCTAAAAGTCAGAAAAATGTGCTGCAATGTGGTGTTTTTTTAGCACTGCTTGAAGTATGCATGTGTCTATGGTGAAAGTGCGGTGGCAGCATTAAAAATTGAATTACACATTTGATTCCAGTAAGGGAAGCACTGTATACAAGATGTTTAAACCTTTACTGACAGCGTGTTCTGTTATTTCAGTGATGCATGCTTGTGGTGCTGAGTCGGCTGAATGTTTAGTATTTTTTTGGCACTAATGCAGTTGCACTCTAGTCAAAGTATGGCCACTAACCCCATAATACTGAAAAATATAAAATCTTGTGTTCCTGAATAATAAAGAGTGTATGTGATTCACAGTGCATTTTGCTGGATATGAAATTACATTTGCATGGAGATACTATGTGGATTATACACTGAAAAACCTTAGAGAGATAGGATGGGATGGTATGGATTGGATTAATCTGGCTCAGGATAGGGACCAGTGGAGGGCTCTTGTGAACATGGTAATGAACCTTTGGGTTCCATAAAATGCTTGGAAATCTTGAGTGGCTGCAGAATTGGTGGCTCCTCAAGAAGGGCTCAGCTCCATGAGTAATTAATTATCAAAACCATAATTTATTGCAGTCTTCCTAGTGGCTCACAGTTATATGTGCAGACACATATACACATATACACTCAAAAGAATTTTGAGATAGAACTATACAACAAGTAACGAGGTAGAAGCAGAACGTGTTTATAGCAAAGGGGTTGACTCACTGTGGTAGGAGGGGCTGCATTCCTGTTGTGCTAAGAAATTGATAATTGAGCTATTTCAAGGAAATAGCAGCTCCGGTTTAGAAAACTGAAATTAACGGCTGTGGGGATTCATTGCGCTGACCACGTGACACCCTCTGTCCGTAAAAGTTGGCACTAAACTTTGCCGACAAGTGGAGGTTGCTTTGTCGGTATAGTTTGCTTGCGGACTGAAATCATGGAGTGTTTGTTTTTTGTAGACTTTGTAGAGTGACGTTTCTCTTCAGGACATCTTGTTCATTTTCTTCTTCACCTCCTCCACCCCTTTAACTGCTTGAGACAGCATTAACTTGTTTATTGTTTGCTGACAGACTGCAGCAGCTTGTTCTTGAAGGTAGGATTCATACAGTGACAAAGTCAGCTCAGTTCAAGGCAGGTCCATGACACCAATTCTATGGAGGATGTTGGAAGGATTCTTGTAAAGTTTGGTTATCTTCACCAGTGGTTTCTTCATTGAGTTTAGAGAAAATACTCATCATATTAAAGTTGGCAGTTCCTCTGTGGTGTAGTTGCTGCAACATTGGCATTATGCTGGATGGAAGGCAAGCCACTCATGTTGGGACACATCTGCTCATAGTCCACATCATGTGCTGAAGCATTATTCAGGATGAGAAGAATCTTAAAGTTCATGTTTTCAGTCTGGAAGTCTCTTTTCTCTTCCAGGACACTTGCTTCTGCATACCACTCCCAAGAATTTCTTTGCATTGTCCACCCTTTATGGTTGCGTTTTCAGCTTCACATAGCCCCTCAATGTACTTGGGTTTTCGCTGTGGTAGATTAAGAGTGGTTTCATTTTACAGTCTCATTGTTACTCTACAATAACTTGTTTACCCTATCCATTGGTGTTTTGAATCCAGAAGTTGTATGTTTTTATGATGGGGTACCCAAAAGAAACCGAACTAATTTTTTTGTGGGCAGAGCTTTTGTAGTACCGCGTTTTGCTGCTGTGAGCGCATAGAGCTAACATTTCTGAATCGATAAGCTGACTACCGTTGCTTCAGAAGGTAAGGACTAGTTTCGGCAGAGTTTATAGTGACAGCTGTTTTGTGTGAACGTCGTTTTTCCAATGGCTGATTTTCGTGTGGCGATGAAATTCTGCTTTTTGCTCGGGAAAAGTGGAACAGAAACTCTTGAAATGTTAAAAACGGCGTACAAGGACGATGCTATGG